AACAAACAAACAAAGAAACAAAAAACTATATCCAGCATATATAAAGAACTATATTAAACAACAGGAAGAAGACAACCCAATTTTTTTACTTGGGCAAAAAATCTGAACAGAAATTTCACCAAAGACGACAGATAAATGGTCAAATAAGCACATGAAATGATGTCCAACATCCTTAGTCATTAGGGAACTGCATATGATACTGCTTCACATCCATTAGAATGGCTATTATCACATAGATAAGGAATAACAAGTTTGACAAGAAAAAAATGGAATCTTCATGAATTGATGGTGAGAATGTAAAATGGTACAGCCATTTTGGTAGTTTCTTAAAAAATTAAACATAAATTTACCACATAACCCAGAAATTTCACTCTTAGGGCTCTATCTGGGAAAGGAAAAAAAAGAAATAAAACATGTATACACAAATATTTGTACATGAATGTTCAGAGCCACACTATTCATAATAGCCAAAAAGTGGAAGAAATGTCTATTAACTGGTAAATGGACAAATTGTGATATATCCATACGATAAAATAATACTCTTTAGCAGTAAAATGGAATAAAGACTGATAAATGCTGCAACATGGATGAATCCTATACAAAATATCAGCAAACTGAAGCCCACAACAAATAAAAAGAATTATACACCATGACGAAGATTTATTCCAAGAATGCAAGGTTGGTTTAATATCTGAAAATCAATTAATGTAATACACCACTGACAGAATAAAGAACATCATCTTAATAGATGCTAAATAAAAGAAGCCACACACTAAAGACGATATATTACACAACTCCATTTATATGAAATGTCCAGAAAAGGCAAATGTATAGAGACAGAAAGTAGATTATTGGTTATCTGGGACTGGAGTAAAAACAAGGAATGACTACAAATGGGCGCAAGGGATCTTTTGGGGGTGATGGAAATGTTCTAAAATTGGATTGTGCTAATATTAATAATTGCACTACTCTGTAAATGTACTAAAAATCTTTTAACTTGTATTCTTAAAACGAGTAAACTATAGGGTATATAAATTAAACCTTAATGACCTAAATTCTAACTGTGACATAAAAGTATTAATATCTTTAGAGAAAAAATTCTATCATTCCATCCTTTATAATTTAACAAAGTGCCTATCAATGTGAATGTTAAACTGCAAAATGAATTTGCCAGTACTAAATGGTTTCGTAAAAAATAAAACTCAACAATCCTAAACAGTCAATCTTACTAACCAGAATTTTGCTTAGAGCCTGATGATCCTCCTTGTTCTAGCTTTGCTTTCTTCTTCTTCGATGATGATGATGATGTTGATGACTCAGAAGGTACTGAACGTTTTTCTACTACAGGAGTGGAAAGAGCTCGTTTTTTGAACAACTCCCGTTCTCTCAACAGGCTTGGATCCATAATGCTGCAAAAATAAAAAATAAGTATTGTTAATACAGATTCCAGTCACTGAAACCTATATGCCAAATCCACAGATCTCAACGAAGAGTTACTTCCCAAACAAAATTACCTTATTACTAGTGCCCTAGAACTTCTATTTATTCACTTACTGAAGAAAAAAAAAATCATTAGTCAGTGCCAATTATGTGCCAAGCACTATGCGAGGCACTAGTAAACAGAAATAGAATTATTCTGTAAACTTCTAGCACTACACTGTCCAACATGGTAGCCACTGGCCACATGTGCCTTTTGAACATCTGAAATGGGGCTAGAGCTGAGTTATACTCTAAGTATAAAACATACACCAGATTTAAAAGACTTAGTACAAAAAGAAGAACTTTTTAAATTACTAATGAGGTATTTAGAGTACATGTTGACGTGATAGTATTTTGGATATACTAGATTAAATAAAATTAATTTCCCCTACTTTTTAATTTAAAAAAAAAAACTATGGCTATGGGCCGGCCGAGTGGCACGTTGGTTAAGAGCTGGCTTGGGACACCAGAGGGCCCCAGTTTGGATCCCACATATTAGGGCCAGTGACACTGCCCTCCACAGCTAAGATACTGAACAACAGCTCAACCTGGAGCTGGGCTGCAGGGAGTTGCCTGCGACGAGGCTACAGCCCCTGCTGCAGTGGGTTGCCATGGGCTACCGTGTGTAGCCAGCAGCCAGTGTGAGGGGCCATCCAGAAGCTGGCAACTGATCTGCCTCACCCAGGAAGAGTGCAATGATGGTGCCAACTTGGGCCAGTGAAGCAACATCCTCCACAACTAGACAGAAGAACAAAAGGACAGCAACTTGTCTGTTCCCCTTTCCCCAATAAAAACTTTAAAAAAAAAACTATGGCTACAAGAAAATGTTAAATTACAAGTGTGACTCACACTTGCAACTCACATTGTATCTGTACTGGACAACGCTGCTCTAGAAACAACATCAGGACTAACTGGGCAGAAATTAGGAAGTAGATTTAGGCTCACTGGAAAAAAAAAAAAGAGAGAACCATCAGAATTGCTTATAAAAAAAAGGTGTATCTTAAAACTGGTGAACTCTCCAACATTAAGTGATGAAGAGGCTCGATTAATGTTTGGTAGAAATATCTACAGAAAATTCCTGATTTGGAGGGGCGGGGGACTAAACCTCTTTGGGGTTTTTCTCAGTTCTAAAACTCTACAATTGTAAGCAACTTCAATACAACCGGGGAAGCCACAGATCATTCAACAAGTATTTTAAAACACTCCTCCCTTGTCTGAACCCACTCTAGCATCCTGTGGAGAGTATAGGAAACGCACAGGCTGACTACGTAAATGATTTGTGCACTGTTGAGACTAGTGTTCATAAGTCGGGAAGGAAGGTCCCAGGAGAAAAAGACTACCTTACACTTTGAAAACCTTCAAGCACCGGGTAGTTCAATAAATATTTATTAAATAATGAACTGAAAAACATCTTTAAATGCTCTAGCCTCATTGTTACTGGTTTCACAAGTCGTTATTAAATGTTTTTTGTTTGTGTGGCACTGTACTCCAAGCTCTGAAAGGTTCTGGAAGATAAATCCATGCTTTCAAGCAGCTTACACTTGAGAACCTGAAAGCATTGAGCACCTTGCTTAAAAAAAAAAAAAGAGGCCTTTTGAGCTCCTTTTGCTCGGCCCACTCCAAACTCTTTGGAGTGTACTTTTTCTTCTAATAATGGCCCTTGAGCTATTCTCTACTGCTCGAGCCCATTTCTCTTCTAATAAACTTTTCTGCAACTTTACCGCTCTAGTCTGTGTCTCCATTCTTTGGTTCCACGAGACCACAATCCCAGCACACACAAAATCACACACATCAAAAAGTCCTGCTTTACTTATCGGGGGCTGATCTGGGATGAAAATATGATCTGTGCTTTTCTGTCTGCCTTGCCCACTCGTGGGCCTTCGACAATATTTTCTTGTCACACAAACAATGGGCCTTCATCAGCCAGGTAAAAGCAACAAGCGTGGCTGCCATTCAAGACTCGAAGGACAGGCTTAGCAGAAGTGCTCTGGATAATCCCCTCTGATGCTGAGTCGGAGGAATGCTGGCCTTAGCCTGACTGCCTTCTCTCTTGGGGGAAAGCGGGGAACCTAAGGACAGTGTGAGGTTGGGTGAACGACTCTTGAGTGCATCTGAGGAACTCTGGTCATAGTGACTCTGTGACGTGTTCTGAAGGCTCGCTGGGTCTTCTCCCGACCTGACTGCCCATAAGGGTGCCGGCCAATGGCTCTCCCTCTCCCTCCCCTCTCTGCTACTCCACTGCCTTTTCCTTTCCGCGAGGAGGCTGGATACTGGTGTGTGGCTAGGTTGTGGGCCTTTACAGGCAGCTGAAGGATCCTCGGTGGCCGTGGCCACTCCACAGGAGGGCTCCAAGCTGGTCCCAGCCCGACTGCCCATCAGGGTATCGGCTGAACGCCTCCTCCAGCTTTACTGCTTTTTTTCATCATGACACTCTCTCTCCTCAACCCCTGAGACGCTGGTCCATGGCCCCTTCCCTGTCAGACCTCCTCAACACTCACGCCAGCCTCAAGACATCTTAAGGTAAGAACGTGGAACTTGTCTGTACAGAACATTCCTTGTTGCTCAGGATAAGATTTACTGATATTTACCCTACCCTTTCTTAACATCTCACTGGGATCTCTTTTTAGTTTTAAAGCACAGATGGAAATGTCCTGAATTTCCCACTCTACATCTCTGCTGTTTTTGTGCCCTTTCCACCCGTTGCCTGTTCTCCAATGACTGTTTAGTGGCCTGAGTCCATCTAGGGCTCCACCTTGGAGGTCCTGAGTATCTAGCCGCTTTCCTCTTGCACCTGTGCTATTGCAAACCGTCAGGCAGAGTTCTGGGGAGGGGGGAAGCCAGCATATTCTGGACTCGCTTTGCCTTAAGGAAGTAGTCTTATCTGAAGACTTTTGAGGCTTCCAATATCTCTATTTACTCCCCCTTACATGTTGGACATCATGGCCTCCCTCCACACCCTTTTGCCTATGCCATGTGCCTTCCTCACAGACCTTGAGCATATACTCCGTCTTAAACATCTTTATACAGAATGCCACCATTACATGGACCGCGCCACCAATTTCAAAGACACTCAGAGTCGGGCAATACACCCCTCTACTATAAGATGCCCCATTATTGGCCACTGCCTTTACAAGTCCACAGGCTAGCGCCAGAAGTCCAGGAGGGGACATACATGGAGTTACGTAGATGCCCACCCAGGGACATGGGCTGGCCGCCCAGGTAAGGCATGACTAAATCCTGGTGTGCCATGTCTCCCCACCCAGCCACAGAACCGAGTCATGCGGTCTCTCTGGCCCCTCAAGGTCTGGAGGACACTCCAGATAGGTTGTTGGGAGGCAAGTTATCAGCCCTCATGCGCCTACACTCCACTGAATTACATCCTAAATCACTAGGATAAATTCGCTCCCCAAACTTTGAAGAAGCAGTGCCTGGTCTTCTGTTCAGAAACATGGCCTCAATATAAATTAAAAGGCGGGGAGGGCCGGCCGAGTGGCGCAATGGTTAAGAGCTGGCTTGGGACGCCAGAGGGCCCCGGTTCGGATCCCACATATGAGGGCCAGTGACACTGCCCTCCGCAGCTGAGATGCTGAACAACAGCTCAACCTGGAGCTGGGCTGCTGTGAGTCGCCGGCGACGGCGTGGGCTGCAGCCCCTGTGGCAGTGGGTTGCCATGGGCTACCGTATGTAGCCAGCAGCCAGCGTGAGCGGCCAGCAGCCGCAGTGAGCGGCCATCCAGAAGCCGGCGACTGATCTGCCTCGCCCGGGAAGAGCGCAATGATGGTGCCAACTTGGGCCAGTGAAGCAACGTCCTCCACAACTAGACTGAAGAACAAAACAACAGCAACTTGTCTGTTCCCCTTCCCCCAATTCCCCAGCACTGTTCCCATCCCCCAATTCCCCAATAAAAAAAATCTTTAAAAAAAAAAAAATTAAAAGGCGGGGAAACCAGGCCTCCAGAGGGAAGTATTAAGTATAACTATCATACAGTTAGATTTGTTTTTCAGACAGGAAGGCAAGTTCCCTATGTTCAGGCTTTTTTCGTCCTGCGTGACAACCTAGACCTTTACAAAAAATGTCAAGCTGATTCAGCTCTTTTGGCTGTGGTCTCTCATCTCCCTCCTCTAAAGGAGACCCATTCAAAGGAACCTCCAGCAGGATCCCCCTCCCCACGGGAGGCCCCCCTACAGGAGGGACCCAGTTGGAAGATGTCCCAAGTCTCCATCCCTTTCTCAGTCTCTTTGCTCTGCTGGTCCCGTTCTAAGGCCTGCAGGGACCACCGGCAGTGGGACTCATTGTAAGGGAGATGGCCTAAGTCTATGTGTGATAACATCCTAAATAAGCTTACTTTTAAAATCATGTTATCTCTGCTATAATATTTGTCAAGAAAATAACTTGTATAATTAACTTTGGGATCTCATAGAGTTAAGAACTAATAAAAGGTAATTAAATAAGGTTTTAAGTGAAACTTTTCAGTAATGATCATATATTGGGGATACTTAGATATAATTTCTCAACATCTGTTGGTAACTTAAGATTTTAGTTTTGCTAAATACTTCTATTTCTAGTTTGTCACAGAACTGTTCAAAGATAGAGTAAGATCTGTTAATAAATATATCTTATGTCTTATAAAAATGAATAAAATGTGACTTAGCATGCTAAAAGTTAAAAATATAAGCACTGATAAATAATCAGAGTAAACTTCAGTTAAGTAAGAAAGGAAAAGAGTCACTGGCGCTGGACTTCAAATCAAAGACCTTCTCCCCTCTCAGTTCTAATCCCCAAGAGTAACATGACCCTGGGTGATCCACCAGACCTAAGTCCAGTTTTATCATAAGTAAAATGAGGACACTACCAATGCTGTCTACCTCTAGCCCAATTGTAAGAATAAAATGAGAAAGTGGTTTTTCAAATATTAAAGCTATACAAATGTTATCTCAGTATTACTATTTTGTTAGATCTAAAAAGAAATAACAGAATGATTATACTGGAGAAAGATAGGAGACAGTTGTGGGGAGGGAAAATGTGGAACAAGAAAGGAGAATTCACAAGTGATAAGGTGGCGGCAACTAGCCCAAAACAGGAAACACCTGTTTACTTCACCATGTAAAGACAGCGTAATTAACCCAGGCTTTTAGTCATGATTTTAACACAGGCTTAAATAAAAGCCTTACTGTTTACAAAGACCTAAATGCTTACAGCATTTGATCCTCACAACTCTAGTAGATAATAGGTATTTGATTTTATTCCTATTTTAATATGTGAAATCTGAAGTGAAGAGGTCCCACAGAGAGAAGTACTTGGACCAGGACCCGAATATTCTGACTTTAAAACACTCTAGGTCACATTTTATTAATATTTATTCATTGTTTTTAAGGGAGGTGCTCAATGCTTTCATGTCCTCAAATGTAAGCTGCTTGAAGGCAAGGATTTATTTTCCAGAACCTTTTTTTTTTTTTTTTTTTNTTACAGATTCTGAAGTGCAGTGGATCGGTGCAGTCTTTTTTATTTTATTTTTATTTATTTATTTATTTTTTTTTTCCGCTGAGCCATCCTGCTACCTATTGGCAGCTTAGCGGCTACTCAGCTCGGGCTGGCCTCGAACCGCTGTTGCTCAGAGCTCAAACTCTTGAGCGAGCTCTTAACCAACTGAGCCGTTCGGCCGGCCCTTTTCCAGAACCTTTTAAAGCTTGGAGGCCTTTACCAGCATTTCAGGTGTGGAGTAAGGAGCACTTGATTTAGGAGTCAGGATATTTGGGTCCTGGTCCAGGTACTCTGTTTAGAGTACTCTTATGCTGGTAAAGGCGTCTAAAACCAAGGTAAGGTTACAGGTAATGTTCAACGGCACCCAGAGCAGAAGGCTTAAGGTCTACCTTTCACCTTTGCAGGTTGCACCTAGCTATTCCTTCTTTTTGTCAGAAGGCTACTCAATATTTGTAGTTTGACATACACTGCCTAGTGTGGTAAACAGGACTCATCACCCTGCTCGTTTCACACTTAAAAAGCATCACTACAACTCAGGGAGTTCAGGTGTCCACGTGTCACGGATGAACACCGAGAAGCCAAAACTAAGTCACAATCTTCTGGCTCCAAAGCCCACGTTCTTCCCACAGGATCATTCTACTTCTTCCAATCTTTCTACTTTCCTCTCTTTTGCTCCGAGGTTCCCTGCCTAAGCCTCCGAGGTGCCACTGGCACCTAAGAACACTGATTTGAATAGCCAGCAAGGGGAGAAAGGAGACTGCTTACAGAAAAAGTGACAGAAACATAAGGGTGGGAGAAAAACGTCCCACAGCGTTTTGTTTTGGAATATGTCTTTAGAATTTACACAAAACAATTATAACTAAAGTTTAGGAATCATTACAAACGAGGTCTCCAAAAGGCAGCTTTAAAAACTAGCCCGTGAACGAGCTTCTAAATCACAGCCTTTTCGTTGGCTGGGCATCGTGGTTTCCCAAACTCCACACATATGGTTCGCTTGGCTACTGCTAATGTAATCTTGGGGGCTACGAAGAGGCACAAGCGGCTACGCGACTGCGAACTTCCCTTTACAACCCAAAAGTTTACTGAAAAAAACCTCCGGCCTAAAAGACAATGCTCCCCAAGAAGTTGCGATTGTATGTCGCGTAGTAAGCGGCAGCCCCTGCCTCCCGACGGGTAGACGACACTCTTTCCCCACGGGAGGAGGCGGTCTCCCCCGAGGAAGAACAGGCCGGAGCTCCGCGTCCCTCACCCGGCGGCCGCAGCCCCTACCTGAGCGAGATGGGCCGCCCCCACGCGACCCGCCGCCGCCTCCCTGCGCCTCCGCCTTCGCCAGCCGCCCACGTCCGCTGGCCGCCGCGTTCTGCTCCTAGTCAGCGCCCCCGCCTGCCCGCAGGCACACCCAGCGCTGCCCCGCCAGGTCCCGGTCTCCGCACTGGCGGTAGCAGCGGCGACGGCGGCAGCGGCGGCGGCACTAGCTGACGACTCGGCCTCGAGCCCTGCCCGCCGCTTCCTGAACAGGATAAGAGCTCAGTCCCGGCAGCCACCGCGGCGCCTCCACAGCCTAGGACGCGCGTGCGTCGTCGCGTTCCCTGTTAGGAGTACCACGGGAGGAAAACCAGCCAGCTAGGGCGTTCCGGATCTCCATAACGACGGAAGGATGGCTGGGGGCGGGGTGGAGACGGGACTTAGGTGGTAGGCTATTTGCAGCCGCTAAGATGGAAATCTTTTCTTTGTAGAAATTTACAGCTACCAGATCCTCCTCCAGCGTACTCTGGAATCTATTTAACCCAAGTAGAGACACAATTTTTCAAGTTATTGTCTACGAGGTATTTTGTGACTTTGTATCAAATGCCAGTTACGGGCATTTAAACTTAAGAGAACATTGTTCCAGCTCTATTACAAGTGAGGAAACAAGAGACCCAGGTAAACTAAATGACTTACTCAAAATAGCATAACTAGCAAAGGCGAATCCTGAAGTAAAGCCCAGTTTCTGAACTCCAAACCACCACACCTGTGAACTCTCTTAGAAAACGTTTTCGGATTCAGAAGCAACATAAAAGGGTAGAAATAAAGCAACGAGATACCGTTTATTGCCGTGTATAATGAGCACTTTTGGCCCAAATTTGTGAGGGAAAAATAAGGATGGTATTATACATGGGTAGTTCTAATTCCGTATTTACATAAATGTTAATTCATTTATGCTTATGAATTAAAAGTGTAAGTCTAGAAATAACAATATCCGTATGCAAAATAATACCCTCTAATACCATAATGTTATGTTGAACTTACGAAGAACTTGTAACGACAGAGTTCTTGGCCACCTATAATGCGTAAATATCATAAATTTGTTACTGGTACATAAAATTTCTGTTACTTGTATATGTTCTTGTGTTTTGTAGTTGTTACATAAAATTTCTTGTACCATGTTAAAAAAATAAATGATAAAATTCCTTTATAATACAAAAAACAAATACCTAAATGCAAACTAATAAAAATTTGAATTAAAAAATTATAATGAAAGTTTGCCCTGAAAGTTTGGGCCAAAAATGTTGGTGCGCATTATACATGGCAAAATACGGTAATGGGCCTTGCTGACAACTTACAATGTATTGGGAGTGTCAGATTTCTTCGATGTCCTTCCATCACTCTTACAACCGAAAGCATCAGCATAGCCAGTGCTCAATTATTCTGTAGCTGTCCTTTAATTACTTAGTACTAGTTACTCAAGTTACTTAGCCTGTGTTAGTTTTCTCATCAGGGAATAACTGTACTACCACAATGGGTTACTTGCATTAGACTGTTACAAAGATTAAATGAGATGACACATAAATTCTTATTCAAAACTTGGAAATAAAGCCAAAAGAGATTGTGTGACTTTTAAAAATTGTTTCATCCTAGAGGATTTTGTAATAAAGTCATTTGATGTTCATCTAATACCATTGGGAAACGTAACTTTGAGTAACAATTGAGTAGGGCCCATAGGTTTTACAACCCAGTAAAGCCAGATATTAACTGGTAAAAAACTGATGAGGTGTAATGGTGACAAAGAGCGGACACCAATTACAAAAAATAATTCCAAAGGTTAAAATTGCATTGTGCTGAGAAACATGAGCCCGTATTATATGAATTTATTTACTTTTATTTCATGGTTCCTTTACCCAGTGATTATATAAATTCCAGTTTTTCATATCCTTATTCAGTTCTATCATTCTTCTGGTTACTTTATCAATGAATGAGAAACCTAATATACGAGGTGTGATCAAACAATACAGTGAATGTTTAAGCAAATTGTTACAGTAAAAGACACATTGCCATTGAGCCCCCTCAAAATACTCCCCCTCGCTTCAAACGCACTTTTATCCCATCGTTCTTGCCACTTTCTGAAACAGTTCTGGGAGTCCTCTTTAGTGAGTGTCATTAGTTGCATTGTCCTGGCTGCCTTGATGTCCTGAATCATTTTGACTTTGGGGAAGAGCAAAAACTCACACGGTGCCAGATCCAGTGCATAAGGTGGATGATGACACACTGTAATGTTTTTACTTGACAGAAATTGCCATATACAGGAAGTGATGTGACATGAAGTGTTGTCATGGAGGATGATTTATGGCACACTTTAAACATTTTTTAATTTATTTTAAACATATGGCACATTTTAAAACACACCTTCTCTCAACTGTAGTTCACACCCGACTGCACCAAACAAGTTGAAACTTGTCACACACTGTTACTAAGGTTCGATGCGCTGCTTCCCGTGTTGAAGATCCCTGCGTTTCCATTGGATGGCACTAGGCAGCAGCATTCACCGTATTTTGTGATCACAACAGAATGGCTCTGTGTCACACATCGTTTCTGTTACAGCGATTTCTGTCAAATAAAAACATTATGGTGTGTCCTCATCCACCTTATTCACAGGATCTGGCACCATGCGACTTCTGGCTCTTCCCTAAAGTCAAAATGACCATGAAAGGTAAATGTTTTGTATTGATTCAGGACATCGAGGCAGCCATGACAGTGCAACTAAAGATGCTCATGAAAGAGGACTTACAGAACTGCTTCAGAAAAGGGGCAAAAATGATGGGATAAGTGTGTTTGAAGCAAGGGTTTTGAGGGGGGTTAATGGCAATGTGTCTTTTACTGTAATAATTTTTTTTATTTAAACATTCACCATATTGTTTAATTATACCTTATAGGCACCATCTGGGTTGCTTCTAGAGCAGCCTCTAGCCCAAGCTTAGGGAAGGCATAGGAAAAAATATCCCACTCTGGGGTGTGGGACATAACTATTTATAGAGATATGGCTATTTGTGTAATATACACAAAGTCTCCACCACTGATGCTTAAATAAACCTTTATTATAAGTGAACCACCTACATAGTGACATCCTTAGTATTTCAGGTCAGAAGGGTGTGACTAGTGTCAAATTATATGAATGATTCAAGCTACTAATGCAATAGCAATTATGTCTCATCTCATGAATGCTTATAATATCCTGCATACTTTTTAGTAGAAAGTGTGATGGCTGTTTGAAGAAAATATGTTTTGTATATTTATAAAACATTCTTCTCTCCTGACCAATCCAAACCCTCCCACCCAAAATACACAATTCAGTATAACCACATAATTAATTCCAATACAGTGGATATTTTTTTTTACTATTTCATTTGTGGTAAAATCTATATAACATAATAAAATTTACTATTTCAACCATTTTAAAGTGCACAACTTGGTGGCATTAATTAGATTAAAATTATGCAACCATCATTACTATTCCCAGAATTTTTCATCACTCCAAACAGAAACTCTGTAACCATTAAGCAATAACTCCCCATTCCTTCCTTCCCACAGCCTCCGGGAACTTCTAATCTACTTTCTATGACTTTGCCCTAGTTCTAGATATTTTGTTTAAGTGGAATAATACAATATTTGTCTTTTTGTGTCTGGCTTCTATCACTTGCAATGTTTTCAAGGTTCATCCATGTTGTAGCGTGTATCAGAACTTTTCTTTTTTATGTAGTGGCTTAATTTTATATTTTAATTTTTTTACATTACATAATTGTTTGGAAGAGAAAAACTGAGATAAAGGAAATAAATTTATTTCATCCTGCCATCAAGTAATAACTGCCTTTCAATTCCCCTTACCTGGCAATCCATCTCAACTAACTAACTAGATATGTAAATTCTCAAAACAGCCAACAAAGCAATTAGCCTACATCCACACAAAACAAGAGTTAAAGTAAGTATGTACTTTCCTCGAGGGGCCGGCCGAATGGCTCAGTTGGTTAAGAGCTCGCTCAAGAGTTTGAGCTCTGAGCAACAGCGGTTCGAGGCCAGCCCGAGCTGAGCAGCCGCTAAGCTGCCAATAGGTAGCAGGATGGCTCAGCTAAAAAAAAAAAAAGTATGTACTTTCCTCATCATGTCCTGGATTTCTCTAGCTTTGATGGTGTCTCCTCCCTTGGAGCCTTTTCTCCTATCTTCTAATGCAGCCTGTCCATCCTGAAAATATCTCCCCAGGACCCTGCTTCCTTCTCTAGCACTCATCCTGTGAGGAAAAAATTCTTTTTGAGAAAAACAAGTTATTAGGATGTGCACTGCACATAAACATGAGAGAACCCAGTTATGAATAACTCAAAGGGATGGTTAGGACTTAGACTTACAAAGTCTAAGCAAAAAACAGTAACTTTTTAAACAAATGACAAGACTTTTTCTCCTAAACTCCAGCTTTTAAACTTCCAGATCCCTACTGGGACCACAAACTCAACATGTCCTAAACTTTGCATCACCATGAATTCTTTGTCCTGCGTATCCACAGTTTGCACTCCCTGCCTGTTAGTTACTTAGTAGCCATCTTGGTTATCAGATCAACTATCATGGTATCACAGTGCTTGCGTTCAAGTCACCCTAACTTTACTAATGGTCCCAAAGCACAAATTAGTGATGTCGGCAATTCGGACATGCCAAAGCAAACCCATAAAGTGCTTCCTTTAAATGAAACGGTGAGAGTTCTCAACTCAATAAAGCATTTTACCATCTCACATCATCACAAGAAGAGTGAGTACAGTATAATATTTTGAGAGAGACCACATTCACATAACTATTACAGTATATTGTTGTAATTGTTCTATTTTATTGTTACTATTGTTAATCTCTTACTGTGTCTAACTTATAAACTTCATCATAGATATGTATAAGAAAAAACATAGTATATATAGGGTTTGGTACTATCCATGGTTCCAGGCATCCAATGGGCATCTTGGAATATACTCGTATTCCTTGCAGGGGGGCGGGGGTTACTGTACAAAGATGTGTAGAGCATGCTCCCTGTATTTGAAAGGAACAAAGGAACAGATACAAGGATAGATACTCAATGGCAACGCAACAAGTGCTATAACAAACGTATAAGGTTTCTTGTAATTCAAGGTTACGTTTTAGGAAAATAAAACTGTGACGTTGCCTAATTTAAGTAGAATGAATGTACCCTTTATAGGGTAGCTCAGAGAATCTTGGGAGGGCTGGTGATCCAGGCTAGAAGGCTAGGCAGCTAGATCCATGGTGGCCAAAATCATGACTCAGAAATGGGCCAGTGAGGTCACCATTACTGCCACAGGGTTCTAGTCACCAAAGCTAGAAACTGACATGGCAGGCACTGGTTCTGCTGCCAGGCCAACCCTTGATGTTGTTGCCATAGCCACTAGAATGGATTCTCTTATCCCTGTTTCTGAGTAGTCAGGGGTGAGTGCATCTGATTGGCCAAGCCTATGTCATGTGCCATCCCTAGCTGCAGGGCAGTCTGGGAAAGCATGTATCTGATATTTTGGGGCTCTGTGTGAGAAGATGGGCTTTGTCTCTTACCAAGGCTCATAAGGCTGGGATTCCCCAAACTTATGGTCTAGATGATGAACAGCCAAAAAGACAAATGTCTCCTATTACAACTTAGAGAAAGCACTTAAAGGGGGAATTGTTGCCATAAAAATTTATGTAAAAACTAGATATAGGGGGAGGGGGGTGGTAGATGAGGGTAAAAGGGACCAAATATATGGGGATGGAAGAACTGACTCTGGGTGGTGAACACACAATATGATATATAGATGATGTACTACAGAATTGTATACCTAAAACCTATGTAACTTTACTAACATTGTCACCCCAATAAACTTTAATTTAAAAAAATTCAAGGAATTAATTTATTAGTTAATATATAGCTGAAAGACTGGGGGAAAATAATACTAGATAAAACTCTAGCCCTACTATCCAACACTTTTTACCTTTTAACATTGCCCCCTAACATATTAAATATCATTTAAAATATACTACCTAAAAAACAGAAATGACTGTCTATAATCTTACCTTTAAGATGTTGACTGATCTTTATTGAAGAATCAACATTCTAAATTATCATATCAAAGGCAATGACAATAAGAGTATTTCTGAGTACAGCAGAATGGAAACCATCTTCTATGTCTACCACTAACAGCTCTTCCTCTACATACAGGAGGTCAGATTCATGGAAAGAGAAGTTTTGTTGAACTGAAAATTTGCCTATTCATTTTTCAAAAATGTAAAGGATTATAATGTTGGCTCTTTTGTACTACAGATATTAGTGTGAAAAATCACACAGTAACACACTTTTGCTCTCTTGCAGCCAAAGCTGCTGCATGATACACAAGGAATGATACTGTGAAACTCAATATAGAGAATATAGAAATGATTGACATTAAATGTAAAATGACATACACAAGGTGAACATATAGTGTAGACCTACTATGGGACAAGGTGTCACGGGAACATATAACACATAGAACACTGAGTCTTCACAAAGGTGGTTTTAGTCAAGCCTTGTAAAATGAGATTTCCAGGTGCGTGTGATTCAAGATGACCACAAATTCTTTAATATACCTCCCATTGAGAGGTGAAGTCCCATAATGTCTGCTTAATTTTGGGCTGGCCTTAGTGATTTGCTTAACCAATTACATGTGGCAGAAGTGATGTTCTAGGACTTCCGAGGTTAGGTCATAAGGTTGGAGCATCTGCCTGGGAATCTTGGCACAACCTCTGGGAGTCCTGAGCTTCCATCTAAGTCCATTACCATGAGACTGCAATCCTGGTAAGGCCACTTGTAGGCACTCTGGTTGACAGCCCCAGCCGAGGCCAGCCTTCCAGTTATCTTGCCTACGTGCTGGGCATAAGAATAACTGTTTTAGACTTTCTAGGCCAGCCCATCTGCCAGTTGAATGACCCCAAATGATCTTTGTCGACACCAACAGAAGAGTCATCTTTGCAAGCTGAGTCTTGCTCTAATTCCTGACCCACATAATCGTGAGATATAATAAAGTGGCTGCTGTTTTAAGCCACTAAGTTTTTTGGTAGTCTGTTATGCAACAATACATAACTGGATCATCTTGTAAACAAGTAAGGAAGATTTCACACAAAACGGACATGCACTCTAATGCTCCAACCATACTGAATGAACTCTATCATTTCCCACGTGTACTTTGCCCAACTCTGCCTCACTGTACCTTCTACATGCGCTGACATTCTCCCTCACAGTCCTCATATTCGAAATCCCACACAACCTCTTTCTTGCTCAAAGCCTTCTTCAGTTCTTCCAGCAAAATGACACTTTCTGCCTCCTCTGAACTTGTATAATTCCACTTCTCTAATAACTAGAGTGGTACTGTCCCATTTTCCTGTAGCAGTACAAACTTATGCCTTTTGTCCCAATTAATTGTGTCCCCTTTCACTCCCAAGTGTCCCATTAATCATATGGTTACCTTGTGCTTAACACGCTGATTTGAATTGCAGTTATTTGTGTAAAATTTTATTTTATTCCAGACTATATGGTTACTTGAGAGTACCCTGTATTTTCTTCAGTAAACATCTACTGAGCACCTACGGTGTGCCAGATATTACACAATATGTTGCCCTATACATCTTTCCTCTCCCCAGCGCTTTTTGTAATGGAGACTGTTAAGCCAGATCACCTTATGCTGGATCAATTTGGGGACTGATGAGAATGAAGACTGCACTCGAAAAAGGTTCCTTCATGTTGGTTTACTATAGAAACAGGCAGTGAAAAGGATACCTGAAACAAACAAAAAAACACATGATTAGAGTAGAAGTGACTACTGGGCCTAACCTTTTTTTTTAATGGAGTCACACCCAAAGTTTAGGGCCAATGCAGAGTGAGAAACCCACCAGGTCAGTGGAGCCCAGAACCTTGGCCGACTATCTTTTAGGTTGGAGGGTCAGAGGCGGGTGAGGTTATGTCAGTCAATTTCATGTCCAGGTTTTTAGACCCTATTTGCTTGCAACAAGAGTTACATAACCTAGTTATTAATGTAGTATGTTTCTTTCATTGCCATTGGACCTACTTGAAGTCAGTGCAGCAACCTGGCCACAGCCAACCAGAAAGACATTCATTAAAAGCTTAATGAAAGCAGTTGGTAGCACTATGCCACTAATGAAAGCCATGGAAAATTTTTAGCTAACTTACCTAGCTGGTAAAGGCAAATGGAAATAAAGTGCTAAAAACCTAAATTATTTCTAGAATGTTCTTCCAACTTGACTGTGAAATTGTCTAAGTGCTTCTTTTATACGTCTGGTCTTTATTTATAAAAGCGAAATCTCTTTTCTCCCCCATAAGGCCTTAAGCCTTCTTACAGTAACTCAGTGTCGGTATCTGATCCTCCAATGAGCAATATTCTTGGAAAATGAACTGTTACCCATAAATTCATAACAACAAATTTTATAAGACAAAAAGGCTATCGTTTTATTTTTAAACTTTTGAAAATAGTTTTCACAAAAAATAAAATGACAAGAACACACAAAAACTAAAATCATTCATTGATTCATTGAACTATGAACTCTTAGCAGAAGGGACTCAGGAATAACCAGCCTTCTCTAATCTTTCCCAGTTTAATGTACTTCATCTCATAAAAGTAACACAAATAATTTTTAATTGCTTAAAACAAAAGAAAGAATAAAATAAGAGGCAGGCCTCTTGTGTCATATGTTTTTAGAAAAAGGTCACATCCTTGAAGCAGCTTTGTAATATGCAGAGCACAGTACTGACTTTGAAAAAAAAATAAACAAAATAAACAAATTCTATGCATTCATTATTTAAATGTGCACAGCTATTGTCATCTTCCTCTATAAAAAGTAGCAAGATATACTTATTCCAGTACATGAATTTAATTATATTTCATATAGTTATACACGTGAAACAAGGCTGAAACAAAAACAAAACAACCACCTAGCACAGAGCTGTTAATAAAAAAAAAGTTAAAGTATTAATTATTACAAGATACAATCACGTGAAAATCAATCCTGGAAAACAAAAAATTTCCAGTATTGCAAGATCTGATTACAATAAAGAAATACATAAAATGTGAACAGTTAAGTAAATGTGATTATTTGGTTCATTTCAGAAGGTCTACTGGTCCAGCTGCCAGCCATGAGTCTCTGAGTTCTCAACGAAGTGTGACCAGTTCTTCCGAAGAGGTAGGGTGAATGGCAACTGTGTTGTCAAAGTCAGCTTTTGTGGCTCCCATTTTTACTGCAACAGCAAAACCCTGCAGCATTTCATCACACCCAATCCCTTGCATGTGGATCCCAACAACCTGGGAAAAAGGAAAAAAAAAAAAGACACCTAGTATTTAAAAACCTCTAGGGCCGGCTGAGTGGCACTTTGGTTAAGAGTTGGCTTGGGATGCCAGCTCTGAGCAGCAGGGCCCTGGTTTGGATCCCACATGAGGGCCAGTGACGCTGCGCCCTCTACAGCTAAGATGGTGAACAACAGCTCATCCTGGAGCTGGGCTGCTGTGAGTCGCCGGCGACGGCATAGGCTGCAGCCCCTGCTGCAGTGGGTTGCCATAAGCTACCGTGTGTGGCCAGCAGCTAATGTGAGCTGCCAAGAGCTGCTGTGAGCGGCCATCCAGAGGCCGGTGACCAATCTGCCTCATCCAGGAAGAGCGCAATGATGGTACCAACTTGGGCCAGTGAAGCAACTTCCTCCACAACTAGACTGAAGAACAAAAGGACAGCAACTTGTCTGTTCTCCCTCCCCCAATTCCCCAGCACTGTTCCCCTCCCCCAATTCGCCAATAAAATCTTAAAAAAAAACAACACAAAACAAACCTCTAAAACCCTTACAATCTCTAACCGCAATAGGCATGACATAGCTTACAAGGCCCTATGTAGTCCTGCCTCAATATCCCTCCCCACCCCATCTCACATAGCCCTCCCTCGGGCTCTTGGCTTCGCTGGCTTTCCTTTATCCTGAGTACTCACCGTGCCCTTTCCTTTATACAAGTTGTTTCCTCTGTATGGACAATCTTTCTGCCCCTCTTTTAAGGGTAAAAGTCCATTCATTCTTCAGATGCCTACACATTCCTTCCTGACCAAGTTAAACTGTCTATCACATGATCTCTCACTACCAGTATTTCTCCACCATAGTTTTAACACAACTACAATGTTGTATTTATTTATCTGGGGATCAGAAAATCATAGTCCATCTTTCACAGCAGACTTTAATCTCTAGATAAAGGGTACTCTGTCTGCTTTTGCTCCCTACTCAATCCCCATGGCCAAGCACAACAATGGCCCTTAGGAGGGACTCAGTTCATACAAGCTCAATGGCTGCACGAAGGACCGGAAAGAGGCATTTGTTTCAAATCACATGATTTTTCAGTGAGATTTCTCACTATACTTTGAAACTATTAGCTAATGTTCCCCTTCAGCAGATACTTTTAGGGTAAATAGTCCATTGAAAAACAAAGTTAGAGAACATAAAATTTAGCTACAAAAATATTTTGCTTTAAAAACAAATCAAGACTATAGTTAATATTAGTGAATAGTACACTTAAAAATGCTATGTGGGGCCGGCCGAGTGGCTCAGTTGGTTAAGAGCTCGCTCAAGAGTTTGAGCACTGAGCAACAGCGGTTCGATTCCCAGCCCAAGCTGAGCAGTCGCTGAGACGCCAACAGGTAGCAGGATGGCTCAGCTTAAAAAAAAAAAAAAAATGCTATGTGCCTTTTACAATTAAAAAAAGTATATCTCAATTTAAAATAAAACAAAAAACATCCCAAATCATGTTTTATGAATGCGTTAAACACAGCTTTTTAGAAATGTGATCTAAATTGAATTTACAATACCAGAGTTTCTAGTGAGGGCGGGAACTTTATATCATCCCTCTCCATATCCCAGTTCTTAGTCTTTAGTCTGTCAGATAATGGTTATCAATGGTATGAAGAAATAACTGACATGAAGAGATAAGTAGTGATCTTGCTGATTCAACATTTGGAAATCTTAAGCTATTGAGGAACTTCAGGGCCAAGAAAAAGCAACCCTTGTTCTGCTGCCGACCCACTTACTTCCCTCTCTTTGCTCTGATTCTCTGTTCTGTCAATCCTCAGTAATGTTGATTTCTATAAGCCAGGGACAATGTCTTGTGGCTTTTGGAGTATAGGACCACTTGAATCAGACACAAACTATGCTCTTTTTGATTAGAGAAGTTGGAAACTACATCTGAATCTCCAATTAAGCCACTGTCCCTCATGGAGCCATGTTCCCAAGGCACATTGCTAAGTTCCATTGTAATATTTAATTCAATTTGTAGAAAAACCCAATAGGCTGACCTAATACCAACAAAACCTATTTCAAAATTATGTTTCAAAAAACCTGTTCAAATTCAAACCAAAATCACAATAAGACACCACCTCACATCCACTAGGATGGCTATACTAAAAAAGATAATAACAAGTGTTGATAACGATGTGGAGCAATTGGAACCCTCATATAGGTCTGAGGGGAATGTAAATGATGCAGCCACCTTGGAAAACAGTTTGGTAGTTCCTGAAAAAGTTAAACCAAAAATAGATAATTTTACTGAATAAATTTCCTCTTTTTTACTGATTATTTAAACTTAAATTTAACATACATTAAATTCTTTTTTTTAATTAGTTTCAGTTGTATCTTAAATTCTTACACTCACCAATATTTCTGAGTTTCTTATCTAACCTGGCCTATTGGACAATGACTGAACTTTTTGTCATTTTCAACCATTCCCCCTTTGTTTGCAGTGGAAACTTCTTTCTAAATGAAATATTATGAAGAACCTCAATATACATGTAGGCAGATAAAAATTGGGGTGCACCAGTTGAATCAATCAGAGAAGGCTTAACTACTTGGTCTCCTCCCACCCCACTCCAGCAGAATGCCACCATCCCTACCAACTCTGAAGCTACTCTTTAGCTCACTGGATTTTTCCCATACCTTCTCTTCTTTGTTAGCACAGACCATTTTCATCACACATTTCGTTTTCCTTTTGGTAACTGCATGATACATCGGGGTAAATGTGGTTGAATAGGTCTTCACATTTTCTTTTCCGTATTTAGAAATGGCCTCATCTATATATAATGCACAGAAAGAAAAAAGTATCTGTCAAAAAAAACCCAAACAATTTACACTGCCCTATCAAAGAGAAAGCAAGAAATACATAACCTGAATCAAATCATGAGAAAATATCAAACAAAACCACAATGAGCGATATTCTACAAAATAAACAGTGATGTCATGAAAGATAAGAGACTGAGGAATTATGCCTCTCAGTTAAAGGCCACCAAAGAGGTATGAAAACTAATACAGTGTATTATCCTGGACTGAAGACTGACTTGAAGAAAAAATGTTTAAAATAAAATGATTTAAAACAATTGGCAAAATCTGAATAAAATCTAAAGTTTAGATAATACTGTATCAATTTAAATGTTCTAATTTGATAAGATAGTTTAAGGGGCCTCTAAGACAACATCAAGCATACCAACATTCTCATCACAGGGGTACCAGAAGTGACAGCAAGGAATTAAAAAACTATTTGAAGAAATAATGATGGAAAACTCCCCTAACCTGGTGAAGGAAATAGACATACAAGTCCAGGAAGTGCAGAGTCCCAAACAAGGTGAACCCAAAGAGGCCCACACCAAGACACATCATAATTAAAATGCCAAAGGTTAAAGACAAAACGATAATCTTAAAAGCAGCAAGAGGAAAGCAGTTAGTCACCTACAAGGAAGTTCCCATAAAACTATCGGCTGATTTCTCAACAGAAACATTATAGGCCAGAAGCTACAAAACACATCATCAGTCACTGCTTCCAGACATTTGCCACAATGGACATCCCAAAGGTCATTAAAACTGACAATGGCCCTGGTTATACTAGCAAGGCTTTTCAAAATTTTTGTCGCACATTTCAGATTCACCACCTCACAGGTATTCCTTATAATCCACAAGTTCAAAAAATTATTGGGCCGGCCTAGTGGCGCATTGGTTAAGGGTTGGTTTGGGACTCCAGCTTTGAGCAGCAGGGCCCTGGTTCAGATCCCACATTAGGGCCAGTGACGCTGCGCCCTCTACAGCTAAGATGGTGAACAACAGCTCGACCTGGAGCTGGGCTGCCGTTGAGTTGCCAGCTACAGCGTAGGCTGCAGTGGGGCTGGCCAGCAGCGGGCGTGAGCTTTTGTGAGCTGCTGTGAGCCACCATGAGTGGCCGTCCAATGGCCGGCGAGCGACTTCCTCACTGGGGAAGAGCACAATGATAATACCAACATGGGCCAGTGAAGCGACGTCCTCCACAACTAGACTGAAGAACAAAAGGACAGCAACTTGTCTGTTCCCCTTTCCTGATTCCCCAATGCTGTTCTCCTCCCTCAAATCCCCCAATAAAATCTTAAAAAAAAAAAAAGATTAAAAAAAATAATTATTGAACGTGCCCATCGGTCCCTCAAAAATCAATTAATAAAACAAAAAGGGGAGACTATGGACACTCAGTACACTGACACTCAGTACATAACCAATTAAACCATGCACTGTTTACTTTAAATTTTTTGCAAACGGATGATCAAGGCCAATCCGCAGTGGAATCCTGTTTCAGGAATCCTAGTCCTGCTACAGAAGCCCTTGTCCACTGGAAGGATCCCCTAACAGGTGTTTGGCAAGGACCAGATCCGGTCCTCGTATGGGGAAGAAGGCATGTTTGTGTTTTCCCTAGGCATGCTGATAGTCCTCGGTGGCTTCCAAAGTGCCTTGTCAAGCAACACCATGGGGGCGGAACCGAAAAACCAACAGTCAAAGAAGGCAAGGAAAAGCCCAATCCAGACTTGGGATCAGATTAAACCTAATAAACTTTTGATTACAATACTGGTAACTTTGTCTTGGCAGGTGTTTGGCCCAAGGGGACACATATTGGACATGCTATCCTAATTCGCCAACAGTAGTTTCCGCAACCTGGAACGAAAAATCAATTAAAGTTTGAGTCAACACATCATATCCTTTAGAGGGAAAGGTACAGGACATCCAGCCTCAACAGGCTGCCTTTAACTATACTGGCTTGGCCCAAGACCCTCCGCTTTGTACCTCTCACATACCTGTCCCTGGATGTCTCCCTTACAGGCCGGATCCTAAGGACAAGTGGCAGACAAAACTCATTGCTTTATCAATACCCTTCTGTCCTATCAATAATGGGGCCAGTCGGGGGTAGGGTCACCTCTATGAGCCCTAGGGGCCACCCACCTATTCTCCCTTGTCCCAGTGATCTTTCTACAATAGACACTAAAAAGGTTCCATGGATAGAGTGTACTTCTTCCTTACCATTCAAACTTCAGATATAAAATTCTACCTTTTTTATATATGATTGGTCCTCAATAGTCCCAAATTCAGGGATGCAGTCTTCAAAACCAGAAAAGTTTGCTGTCCTTATCCTTACCACAGACTCCAATGTCATACAAAAGTACATTTGGAGATTGTGGGCAGCTTCAGACCATATAAAACACTCTAATTATGAATTTGCCCATATCAAATATGCTTCAACATTGTATGCCATCATGGCCTGTGTACAGGCCCCGAAAGTATTACTGATTGGGAACTTCCAAATTAGTATAGCTCAGTCCATCTATAATATTTCTTGTCAAAATTGCTATCTCACCAACTGTGTTGATCCACAAGACAAAGGGTGAGGAATTCTAGTTCTTCGCCAACCTCCATATGTTGTACTTCCGACCACTATTGAGAGGCCTTGGTATGATGACCTAGGATTACAGACCCTCCAAAACATAAACAAAGGTTTAGGTAAAGGACAACAGGCAGTCGGTCTTGTCATAGCCGGTCTCGCCGCAGTCATTTCTCTTATAGCTACTGCAATTACAGCTGCTGTATCCCTATCCAACTCTATCAAAACAGCAGATTATGTTGAACAGCTTGGAACTAATACCACTGTAGCTCTTTGCAGTCAAGAAGACATAGATATTAAGCTTGAGTTAAGAATTAATGCTTTAGAAGCTGTTGTACAGATAGGTAAAGAGGTTGAGGCCATGCGCCTCCTACTCACCCGCAGATGTCATGCAAGATACCGAAGGGTGTGCGTAACCCATTATCAGTTCAATAACACAGATTGGGATTGAAAAAACATTAGCAATCGCCTCCAGGGTATTTGAAATAGTTCAGACCTGAGCCTTGATCTAGACCAACTCCATAAAATAATTCTTGCCGTGCAAAACAGCGAACTGGTTTAGCCGATGAAATTATTACCCCCTTCAAAAGTTTAAACCAGTCACCACCGTCCAGACTATTGCCTGGACCCTGTCAGGGATTGCAGTCTTCTTACTATTAGTACTGTGCTTAGTCTCGGTCTGCAAGAAAATTATAAAGGCCCTTCTTCAGGCCTGTAAAACAAAATCCCATCGCCAATGTTTAAATACAAATACACGACGATGACCCGGGACACAAGTCAAAAAGACCCCCTCTCACAAATTTTATCTCTCAAACCCATCACTCCCCTCTTTTGTACACTTTCAAGCCAATAAGTCACTTCTGTGTCTTACTCCATAACGCTTTTTAAGCTATCCCTCAGAACCCTACATAGGTAGAGGTTTTGTTTGTGTTTCCAAAAACTACAACAGTCCGACATGGCAACCAAAAAAACTTGACAGACGGTATAGAGGAGCCACCCATCGGTCCAAGTAACTACGACTGACTAAACAACAAAAATCCATCATACCAGACAACAAAAGGCCGATCCCCTGACCTGGGGTCAAGTCAAAACATTAACAACAGGGCCAGCAGAGTAGTGCGTTTGTTAAGAACTGGCTTGGGATGCCAGAGGGCCCCGGTTCGGATCCCACATATGAGAGCCAGTGACACTGCCCTCTACAGCTAAGATGTTGAACAACAGCTCCACCTGGAGCTGGGCTGCTGTGAGTCGCCGGCGTCGGCGTAGGCTGCAGCCCCTGCTGCGGTGGGTTGCCATGGGCTACCATGTGTGGCCAGCAGCCAGCGTGAGCGGCCAGCAGCCGCTGTGAGCGACTTTCCAAAAGCTGGCAACTGATCTGCCTCGCCCGGGAAGAGCACAATGATGGTGCCAACTTGGGCCAGTGAAGCAATGTCCTCCACAACTAGACTGAAGAACAAAATGACAGCAACTTGTCTGTTCCCCTTCCCCCGATTCCCCAATAAAATCTTTAATAAAAAAAAACAAAACACATTAATAACAAAGGCTATGGAGATATTGCAGTGCCAAAACCAGCCACAGACCCCTTACTATATGTTTCTGGCCATGTTAGCCATTGTCACTTGCCAGTCAGCTAAAGGCTCCATAAAGGGCTCTTTCTAGTATTTACAGACACATATCAGCTACGGGGGACTAAGAGACACATCCAAAGTAAAGAAGAGGTTGATATAACGGCGCCCTCTCTGGTTGCGTCCTTGGCAAATGTCAGTGGCGCGCCCCACAGAAAAAGACAGTCTCTGTCACCCTTAGGTAATAATATATATTAAAATATTCTACCAAATTTAAGACTCTTTAAAACAAAAAAGGGGGAGATGTTGGGAGCCGTCTCAGAGTCGTGAGACTACAAGCTGACTGCAAGTGAAGAATGGCAGGTGGCTGCAGACCCCCATGTTCTGTGTGCTGAGGAAAAGGCTACAAACTTCATGTTAGCTGAACAGCAAAAAGACGAACTGCTGGAGAAACAGCTCAGTTCATCTTCTGTGCCATGGAAAAGCAGAAGTTCCTGAACTGAAACCACCAGACCCTCAGATGTCACTGTCTAGTTATGGACTTACGTACTTTGGAACTTTCCACCATGGACTTGCTGACAGCTTCTATTTGCCTCAGTTTAACCTTACTTAAAATATATCATTAGTCTATTCTGTGTAATCATGTAACTTGTTGCCAAGAGATTATCTCACTTCCAAACCCTACGTCAGGGACACTGGTACCCCATTCCCCAAATATCCCCCCTACCAAAATCCCCTATTCTGTAAGGGAATTTTCCTTTGCAAAAAAGGGAAAGTTGTTTTCTGTATCATCAATGTGTATCCAATAAACTGTGGCACTCTCTCCGCCACCCGCGGCAGTGTCCCTCCTGATCCCAACTTTTGTCTCTATGTCTTTCTTTCTTACTTAATTTCTTTCATCTCTCAATCTCCCACCAGTCCATTCAGAGACCCTCTAGGTAACTGGATAGCACATACCAGGCGGCCACTAAAAACTGAGTGGGTCTCGACAGGCATGAAATATTCAAGGTGATGAAAAGCAAAGACGTACAACCAAGATTACTCCACCCAGCAAAGCTATCATTTAGAATTGAAGGACAGATAAAGAGCTTCCCAGACAAGAAAAAGCTAAAAGAATTCATAACCACCAAATTAGTATTTCAAAAAATGTTAAAGGGACTTCTTTAAGAAGAAGAAGAAAAAAGATTTACAAAATATGAATAAAATGGCAATAGCTATGTATTTATCAACAACTACCTGAAATGCTAATGGATTAAATACTTCAATCAAAAGACATGGAGGTGTTGAATGGATAAGAAAACAAAACCCTTACATATGCTGCCTACAAGAGACTCATTTCAGATAGAAAGACACACACAGGCTGAAAGTAAAGGGAAGGAAAAAAATATTTCATGAAAATGGAAACAAACAAAAAAAAGCTGGGGTAGCAATACTTATACCAGACAAAACAGACCTTTAAAACAAAGGCTATATAACAAGAGAAAAAAGAAGGACCCAGTAATCCCATTTCTGGGTATTTATCCGAAGAAGCCCAAAACACTACTTTAAAGGGACAAGTGTATCCGTATGTTCATTGCAACATTATTTATAATAGCCAAAATATGGAAGCAGCCTGGATGTTCATCAATGGATGAATGGATAAAGAAGAGGTGGTGCATATATGCAATGGAACATTACTCAGCTACAAAAAGAATGAAACCTTGCTATCTGCATCAACATGAATGGAGCTAGAGGGTATTGTGCTGAGTAGAGTAAGTTAGAGAAAGGCAAATACTAAATGATTTCACGTATATGAAGTCTGAAAAGCAAAACAAACACACAAAACAGAAACAAACTCATAGATACAGAGAACATTTTGATGGTTGCCAGATGGGAGGAAAGTTTGGGGGATGGGTGAAAAAGGGGAAGGGATTAAGAAACACAAATTGGTAGTTACAAAGTAGTTATGGGGATGTAGGTATAGTATAAGGAATATAGTCAATAATATTGTAATAACTATGCATGATATCAGATGGGTACTAGATTTATCAGGGTAATCGCTTCATAAGTTATATAAATGTTTAATCATTATGTTGTACACCTGAAACTAATATAATGTTGTATGTCAACTGTAATTGAAAAATAAAGAAATTGTTAAAACAAAAAACAATAAATAAATGTTCTCAGCTGAAAAATTGCACTGTGCTTCTGTTAGGAAACGGTCTGGTTCTTAGGAAATAGGTACTGAAGAGTGTGTGTGTGTGTGTGTGTGTGTGTGTGTGTGTGTGTCTATGTGTAGAAAGAAAATAATAAAGCAAACATTTTAAGGGTATACAGAAGTCCTCTGTACTACTTGCTGCAACTTTTCTTTAAATTTGAAATTAGTTCAAATAAAAAAGCTAAAAAAATGTCAAAGAGGTGATAGGGTGATATGGGGAAAAGGAATTAATACTCTCAGTGTGGTAGTAGCCAGGGAGGAAATTGCAACTGTGACAAGAGGAGTATAACTTGGGGGCTGAGATAGATTTACTCAGCTGACAGACACCTAGGTTAAAGTTGGGGGTGGAGGGAAGGAAACTGTAAATGACCTTCATTTCTAAATACCTACCTTCGGTGAGTCCCACTGTCCCAATAGGGGGGTGGCTGAAGACCACCGTGGGGATGTTGTCATAGTCTAATTTAGAATCTGCTTTGCGTTCAAAAAGTCTATGGGCAAGTTTTCGGCCAGCAGCTATGGCGACTGCAAAGATAATTTAAAGTCAGTGTTCAGCTTATTGCTCATTTTTACATAGCAGAATTGTTCTACTAACCATTTAGCCATGTGGCTTAACATACTAGTTCTGACAAAAGTTTTACACCAATGCTCATTGTAATACCAAGTTCAATATAAGAAAGACATATCAATACATTAGTTATCAATTCAAAATTATCAAAATTTCAAAACTATCAAATTCTGTACATTCTATTACAACAAAAAAAGAGACACATTTACAAGTTTCCAATCATCTGGCAGTTACCTACTTAATGAGGATACTAGCTTTTTGATACAATGTTTATGGAGTAAACTATGTTAGTGTCAAGATTCTTCAATTCTATTTTATAACCACATTCAGTTCACACTAAATTTTTTTTTAAGTTATTTAAAAAATTATTTTATGTATTATTTTTTAAAAGTTTATTCTCGGGGTGGCCGGTTAGCTCATTTGGTTAGAGTGTGGTACTAATAATACCAAGGTTGCCGGTTCTATCCCTGTATGGGCCACTGTGAGCTGCACCTTCCTTAAAGAAAAAAAAAAAAGTTTATTCTCCTTAGCCTGTTTTTATTCTTAAGTTTTTAAAAATAAATGCCTGAGTTCAGTCAAAGCATTAGCTGCTAATTTTATTGATTTGAAATTGACAAGTTTCTTTCCAAAATTAGTTATCAGAGAATACGTAAGAAATTTCTTCACTTTAACATAATTTTCAACTGTTAGAATACGTTATAAAGTTTTTGAACCTTTGCTTGTTATTTTGTTTTTGTTAAGAGAACTTCCTAAACTAGCTCAAAGGCTTTGGGTGTGAAACTGGGGAAGTTTCCATTCTGAGGTAAGACCCAGGGCCATTTTGGAAAGCCCAGTGAGGTTGCAGAGGGGTACAGAGTGAAAGCAGATGGAGTGGCATTGATAATAGATAGAAGTGGGACAAAGAGCTTGAAAAGGCGCCAGCTAAATCCAAAAGTAGCCTGAGGTATAAAACTCGGGGGATGAGGATCAATCTTAGTTGTATCAAAACTAAATTGTCATAGAAGAATCCCACTCAATTACTTCTTCTCAAAGCCACATCCTTCCACTGTTGCCACACAAAACTCAAATTCTAATTTACACTGTTCAGAGGAGGACTGTATCAGCTATATGAAAATTTCAGTCTTCATCAAGTATTTTTAAAGTAAAAATGAATATTATTCAGGAAATGTCAGGTTCCCAACCAGCATCTATTTCCAGACATTTTTATCATTCTGGTGACATAAAGACAGTCATCCTTTTACTTTTGCTTAAGCTGATTTGACTGTGAACTTCTGAACAGTTTTACATAACAAACAGAGTCTCCCTGACCCAAGAAAAGAAGAAACATTACCTGGAGTAAGGAGAGCTTTTCCACACACATCCCCAACTGCGTAGATGCCTTTCACGTTAGTATTCTGGAATTCATCCACGATGATATGACCTTTGTTGTCAGTCTGAATCCCCTAGAATTGTGAAGAGACATCATGTAAATATCTGGCTTATCTACAAAAAAATGGCAGATCAAATCTCTGATTCTACCTCATTTCACGCACCTCTTTAGCCTGAATCTCCAAGAACCATAAGACTCAACCATAAAATGAAAAACTTCTCAGCAAAGTGGCAAGTTTCATTATCTTTTGTTTAATTTAAAAGGGAACTATTTTATCCAATTTTGAGGTATTTTAACAGGATTTGACTTTGCAATGTAGAACTCAACTGGCCAGGGAAACATAAGAAGGCACCATTCCACTATTAGATGTGCTACTTGCTATCCATGTGGAGTCCATCTAGGACAGTAGTTTTCAATTTTCTCTACCAAAGCAGTCTTTCTAAAGCAGGCTAACTCATACCTTCGAGGGGCACAACCTGAAGCAGTCATCAAAAGCAGATTTCTTTGAAGCTTACCACTTTATCTTTAAAAATCCAGGCAAATTTTGCATTCTACTCTAACACACACTGCTATTTCCTTTAACCAAAATTTATTCCCATATACTGAGTTTAATTTTTGCTCTAAGATGTGTCATGCTTATCTCGTGGCTTTCTAGAGCCCATGTGTCTACACTTCCGTGTGAAAGAGAGGTAGAGAGACAACGGAAGTAGGTACCATAGTGGTTAAAAGTGTTACCTTTGAAGCCATGTAGACCTGGGTTCAAATCCAAGCTCTGCCATTTGCTAGTTATGAAACCTTGTATAACTACCTATTTATCAGCAAATACTTGAGTTTCTAGTACAAATGAGGCACTAACCTAGTTACTGCAAATAGAATGGTAAGTAATACAGATACCCTCCCAGCTCTTTGGAGTTTACAACCATGAATTATTCATTAATTCTGTGCCCCTGGTTTCCTCATCCTTACTCCTCAAAGAGTTGTTGGTAAGATTAAATTAGGTTAGTAACATGTTGACCTACACATAGGGATGATTCAATTTGCACTATAAAAATATATCTTGGGCCGGCCGAGTGGCGTGATGATTAAGAACTGGCTTGGGATGCCAGAGGGCCCCGGTTCGGATCCCACATATGAGGGCCAGTGACACTGCCCTCTACAGCTAAGATGCTGAACAACAGCTCAACCTGGAGCTGGGTTGCCACGAGTCGCCGGCGACGGCGTAGGCTGCAGCCCCTGTGGCAGTGGGTTGCCATGGGCTACCGTGTGTAGACAGCAGCCAGCGTGAGCGGCCAGCAGCTGCAGTGAGCGGCCGTCCAGAAACCAGCGACTGATCTGCCTTGCCAGGGAAGAACGCGATGATGGTGCCAAGTTGGGCCAGTGAAGCAACGTCCTCCACAACTAGACTGAAGAACAAAACGACAGCAACTTGTCTGTTCCCCTTCCTCCAATTCCCCAGCACTGTTCCCTTCCCCCCAATACCCCAATAAAAATCTTTAAAAAAAAAACAAAAACAAACAGATTTAAAAAATATATATCTTAACATTGAATGAGACTAAAAATTTTTGCCTCATTTTATAAAAATTCAGCAAATATAGTTGAAAACTGGACGTACCAATGCCTATATCTGCACAATGGCAAAATATCTCTTGAAATAGCAGGATGGCTAGTTTTGTTAAAATAAAAATAGACAGCTAGTTTTACTAAATTTCACTAAACAGTAGATTATAAACAAGTAAACCATCTCTCCAGATATTTTTTAATGCTCAATAATAGCTTTTATAGAAATGAAAAATGAACTTACATCATGACAGATGTTAATATTAGAACATAAATCAAAATGTTATATACTTCTCAAGAGGTCCCATCAAATATATAAATCTCAAACATAAAATATCTATTATTAATAGAGTAGTATAGCATATGAAAAAAATCACCACCATCAGCAGCAGCTGGCTAACGTTGATTACGTTTATACTATAAACTAATATCTCAGCTAATTACTCTGCAAGCACTTTCTCATTTACTCTACTTTATAACCCAATGAGGCAAGTATTATTTTTATTACCATACTTATATGAAACAATTCAAACTTAGGAGTACTTAATCTTCTCAATTAAGGCCATGAAACTGGTAAGTAACAGAACTAAGGTTCAAAATTGGGTCAAACTCCGGGACCCATGCCCCAAGCTACTACACGACTTTCCTTCAAAACTTAAAAGAACAAATAAGAATTCCAGTTAATAACACTTGTAGATTGGCTTCACAATGTTCCCGTCCCCAAGTGCTATAACGTCCAGGATGATTTATACACGCAGCAATCCTGATTAGAGCTGCAGATGATAAGGAATAATATTAGAGCTTTAAAGAGACAAGTCTCATAGTAAAAAGGAAATCTGTAAGGAAGAGGCTAGTCCATAAACTGCTGGACAATCTAGATGAGAGGTGGCTGGGACCCGATCTAGGGTGCCGACATTAAAAAGGAAATCTTTTGGGGCTGGCTGAGTGGCTCAGTTGGTTAAGAGCTCGCTCAAGAGTGCGAGCTCTAAGAAACAGAGTCGCCAGTTCGATTCCCTGCCCGAGCTGAGCTGCTGCTGAGCTGCCAACAGGTGGCAGGATGGCTCAAAGAAAAAAAAGAAAAAGAAAATCTTTTTTATAATTTCAAAGAAGTAGCAATGGGATTTGATGACAAACTGAATACACATAATATTGGGTTGTTGGAAAAGTCATGACGCATTTTTGCAACGAAAAACATAGAAAAAATACGTCATGACTTTTCCGACAATCCAATAAAAAGAAAAGAATCCAATAGAGCCCACCAGTTTTAGGGCCTGGAGTGTGGGGAAACAGGGCTAGTAAGAGATTCAAAAATGTTTTGGGCAGACTAAGTCAGCTTACCAGTTTGTTTAAATTCAGGGCCCTGGAATTTGGGTCCCTTCCAATGGCCCAGAGCAGGCAGTCAACATCTGGAATTGTGGTTACGGTGGGCTTCCTACCAGGCACTGAAGTAACCACACAAAGTTCCAAGCCTGAGGATGTCTTTTTAACTTCCTTGACCTATTGGCAAATAAATGTGTTAATTGTGGGAGAGGGAAGGAAGAAGGAAAGCAAAGAGGAAAACTAGAATTCTTAACATTTAACAAATCCCCATTGAATCCTACAAGTGAATCTTTACGTGCTGACACACATTTACTTTTACCCAAAGGCCACCAATGCTAGAACTCCTAGGAGCCATGACTATTTCCTAGGGGGCCCCAAATCATCCAGCCAATGGCTGCAAATGTCAGTTCATGTCACCAACTCAATGCTTCACATGAAAAACAAAGTATGTTAAACTGTACTTCTTAAAAATTGGTAAAATTTTGAGTGATAAATCTAAACACAGTGACTTGCAACTGGAGTGTGGGGAGAAAGAAACAGGCTAGCAGCATCAATAAGAAACTTTTTCACACTGCACAATCATTGCTTCTCCCTGTACATTCTTAACCAGAATAGGGGAGAGGCGTAGGAATCAGGTCAGGCGAGTGGAGCCCACGTACAGCTTAGTGACAGTCCCAAGGTGATTCTGATGTTAACCCCCACCACCAATCTAGCACTTTCATATTCACAAAGCATATTCACATTTATTATTTTACTTGACATGGCCTATGGTAAAAGGGTGAAACTAGGGGGAAACTAATCACTTTTTACAAGGCCAATGTCCCAGGCAAATTTTGAAATGTAGGTGATTCCCTGAGAAGTAAAGCACTTCGTAATTCTTTCCATCTATAAAACCCAAAACGGTGTGCTTTAAAAACAGATTCCGCAATAATATTTCCTGAAAAATTGGGCTGGCCGAGTGGTGCGTTGGTTAAGAGCTGGCTTGGGATGCCAGAGTGCCCCAGTTTGGATCCCACATATGAGGGCCAGTGACACTGCCCTCTACAGCTAAGATGCTGAACAACAGCTCAACCTGGAGCTGGGCTGCCATGAGTCGCCGGCGACGGCGTAGGCTGCAGCCCCTGCTGCAGTGGGTTGCCATGGGCTACCGTGTGTAGCCAGCAGCCAGCATGAGCGGCCGTCCAGAAGCCCACGACTGATCTGCCTTGCCCAGGAAGAGTGCAATGATGGTGCCAATTTGGGCCAGTGAAGCAACGTCCTCCACAACTAGGCTGAAGAACAAAAGGACAGCAACTTGTCTGTTCCCCTTTCCTCAATTCCCCAATAAAAATCTTAAAAAAAAAAATTCCCTGAAAAATAAATATAAACCTGAAAAATAAGGATGTTCAATAAGGTAATGGAGCACAACAATTAAAGCTTTAGTTCTAACTAAACTAAATTCAACTACCAGATTTCTATTTTATACCTTGACTTCATTAATACATTAATGAGAAATATAGCTTCTTATAATAAAGAAAAGAATTGGTAGTACTCTAGAAAGGAAAAAATTGACTGGGGTAGACCAAGAGATTGTGTTTATAAAACTAATGGGATAAAGCCAAGAGCACAAAGTGTGCTTCTTGATGGACAGATGACCAAGGGCGGTGAGCGTGGGCCGGGCCAGGTCGTACCTGTGAGTGCTTCAGGACGTTGATGCCAGCATTCTCCAGCTCCTCAGTGCAGTTGGAACTGATTAATGAATCAAAATTTCTAAGTACCTGGATACAAACAGAGGCAGCAGAGGGAGGGGGTGGGAAAGGAATAAAACTCGATTAAAGATACACTATAAACTTAGGAAAAATTTTGGTATCATCCTCCCTCTTATTTCCTTTTTCATTCGTGGGCATACCGTGAATGGAGTTTTAATAAATCTATTTTCCCCTGAAACCACTAATGTCTATACTACATCTGACTTCACCAATTCCTGTTTTAGAGTTAAATAGCTAAGCAACCTGCAGGCTGCTATCTTTGCCATGTTCTCCCCAAGCTTGCCTCTCTTTTCCATAAGTCTAGCGATCAGAAATTCTCTTTCCCGTTTCAGTATTCCAGGGCCAGCTTTTTGCTCTGATATGATTCAAACGAAGATTCTCTAGCAAAATCTCTTTATCTAGGCAGAAAAGTCAACAGCATGGTCTTGAGGATTTTTTATTTTATTTTATTTTATACTAGTGTTAGTATCTCTTTAAGATCTCAAACTACTTTGGAGTTCTGAATTTGGTAAACATGAGATCCATTCCTATTAAAGTTCCCAACAAAGTTGAAAGCACTGTCTTTTTCTTTCTTAGAATGCTAGGTGTTGTTCTAGAGAATGTCTCTCTGTCCATCTATCTATCTACTCATCATCAAATCCTTCCAGTGATTTTATGGGGTATGAGATGTTATCACCTTTTTTTTTTTTCAGATGAGGAAGCTGAGACTCCAAGAACTGGAGTGACTTTTAGAAAGTACTAGAGCCAGTATTCAAATTGAGATAGGTCTGAATCTTCAGATCAAGTTCTCTCCACATCGCTATGCACCTCCTCTTCCCACCCCATGGTGATGGAGGCCATTTAAAGGCACCGGAACCATGGCAGACAACTTCTGCTCCATTACCCCGTGCAGGCCTATGGAGCCTGGTAAGGCACAGAAAACATGGGAGAACAAGGGTATCGAAAGCCATTCTCTTGCCACATCTCTCAGATCAGTTGTAGTGTCACTAAATGGGGAGTACTCTCCCTTCCATATATCTGTGGGGCCCCTTTATTTTTTCTTAATTGAATTCAAAATACCAAGATGAGGTTCAGGGCAATAGATCAGTTATATCTTCAAAGGCATTTACATATTTAGCACTGCTGCTACAACAATCTTCTCATACTTCACCTTTTTCACAGCAATCATTCACTAAGTCTTTGTCAGAATACTATCATGATTTTAAATTAGTAGGCATGCAGTAAGTGTCTTCTGTGGAATTTACTCTAAGAGGTGCTAAGAGGATATAAAAATGCACATGGACACCTCTGTTCCCTTTCCAGGGGAGGAGAAAGACATGTAACTCTAGCAAGTGAAACCGAGGTCAGCACTATAAATTCACTGGTTCATTCATGCCAACAACAAATATTTAATAAGCTCTACTATGTGGAAGACATAACATATTAGAATAAAAGAGAGACTAATCATTAACTTAAAGGATGTACAGATAAGATGTTTTATAAGAGACAGAAATTATACAGAAGAGAACAGGGGAGGTTTCATGGAGAATGTTCCATTTGCACTGGATCTTGATGATTTGGGAAGGGAAAGCACCTTAAGTAGAAGAATCCGTACAAATATAAGGATGTGGGACCACGTTACAGATGGGGGAAAGCAAGTAGGCTAGTCTAAATGGAAGAGCTTTGAAGAAAAAAAGTGGGGAATAGGCCAGAGGTTAACCTCCTTTTGAAAGATGGACCAGGTCTGACAAGATTGCTTTATAAGGGATCAGTATAGATGTGGAGTGATGCTCAAACCTCACAAAACACCAGAGTAGATAAATAGGCCAGAAAATATGTGCGGATGACCTGCGTGTAATGATAATAATTGTGGTGATATGATGATGGGGATGATGAAAGAGGATACTCAGTGGGAAAGGCAAAACTTTGGAAAGGGAATGGAAAAACCACATTTTTCCTACACCATATTATTGGTGAAATTCTATCCTAATTCTTCTTAAGGTATGCTGCCTCAGAAATAGTGTAAGTCACCGGGGAGATCATGGAATGGATAACGCAGCAGGTTTAACAATAGGCTAAACTAGTTAAAGAAGGCAATGACTTTAAGGAGAGTGATCAGGTCCCTTTCAAACTAAAGAAGACATTAAAAGATGAGTAAAACTGGTAACAGAAACAGTGTCACTAGATAGAACTGATGAATAGTATTAAAGTAGAACTGTAGGGGCCGGCCGAGTGGCTCAGNGCAACAGCAGTTCGAGTCCAGCCCGAGCTGAGCAGCCGCTGAGCTACCAACAGGTAGCAGGATGGCTCAGCTTAAAAAAAAAAAAAAAAAAGTAGAACTGTAAGATTTAAAAAACATTTGGCACTTACAAGAATAAGAAATGTTTTTAGTACTAGTATCCCCAGAGATAAGTATTATTATCATTTGTTAATTCCACTTAAGATGCTGAAATATCTATTCTATTGCTAGCCTATATGAAGTTCCATGAACATGAGAATCATATAACTTTGAGTTAATTGGAAGCCACATGAATTATGTAGCACAGTATCATTGAAAATAAGAAACTGAATTGCCATAACAATCTATGGTTTTGCTATGAGGATTGTTCTTTTTTTCTTAAGTCTCAATATTATCTCCAGTTGGATTTCAATGTTCCTATGATGGCTTCCATTAGTGCCCTAGGGAGAATATTCTTTAAAATAATAATGGTTACTGTCTAGCAACTTTTCTTTACTCATAGGCCTCCTCTTTCTTTCTCTAGAGATTGCTTTGTGGTAACACACATACAGCACACCCCAAGCCAGGGAAAGATGGGCGGTCATGAGTTAGTCATAGGATAGTTCTAGAATAGTTACATTGGGACAGGGAGAAAAGGGAGGATGAGCCTGATGCATTAGGGATGGGGAAGGACAGGAAGCTCAAGTGGAAGGGGCTCTGCAAACTAGCTAATTTTCCAAATGCAGGAAGTTAACCACTCTCCTGATAAACTACTGCAGTTTATTTGCTTATTTACATATTAAATTCAGGCTAGCTATCCCTCTGCCTTTCTCCTTCCTTCCAATTTGCTGGATATATCCCATCAATGCAAAATAATGTTTACCTATGAAAAACATTATTCAGGACATAAATCTCTTGGGAATTAATTATATGACAAGTCTCAAAGCCAAAGAGAAGGAAAACAAGAGAGAGAGAGAGGGAAAAAAAAGCCAAAGAGAAAGTTCATTGGAGTACACACTGACCAGGATTCAGTTTCCCTCGTCTCCCCCAATTTGCTCAAATAATCAAGAATTTGAATCATAGCATTTGAGTGGTCAGGGTCTGATAAATCTTGTTCCAAAGGCATTAAATGACTTGTCCAAGTCACACATTTGTCAGGGATAGTTCAACTATTCCTGTTACTGCCCTATACCGTGTCTCTGAAAGCTCCAATATTGTGCCACAACCCAGTGGTGCTCAGCCACGATTAATCAACAAAACAGATGAAGTAACACTTCCTCATTAATCACAAACATGGAGGCAGCATTTTAGAAGAAAAAATATTGGTCTAGGCTTCTGAGACCTTAGTTGACTCTCAGTTTTGATACTAACTAGCAGTCACAAAACTTCTCTGGGCCTTAAAATGAAGTTCAAATAGATGATCTATATAAGCTTCCTTTATTTTTTTTATTTTTTTTGTGGCAAAACAAAATGCATAACATTAAATTTACCAACTTAACCATTGCTAGGTATAGTTCTGTAGTGTTAAGTATATTTGTATTATTGCAGTGATCTCCAGAATTTTCTCCTCTTGCAACACTGACACTCTGTACCCATTAAACAACTCATTTCTTCCTCCCCCCAGATCCTGGCAACCATCACTCTACTTTCTGTTTCTATGAATCTGACTATTTTAGATACTTAATATAAGTGGAATAATATAGTATTTGTCTTTTTGTGACTGGCTTATTTCATTTAGCATGTCCTCAAGGTTCATCCATATTGTAGCATGTGTTAGAATGCTCTTCCTTTTCAAGGTTGAATGCTATTTCATTGTATGTACCACATTCTGTTTGTCCATTCATCCATCAATGGACATGTGGGTTGCTTCTATATCTTGGCTATTGTAAATAAAGCTGCCATAAACACAGGGGTGACAATATTTTTGATAAGTATCCTTTTAATGAAAAGAACTTAGTACATTTTTTTGACTGAGTGCTAATAATCCAATCCAAGAAATTAACCTGATAGTCTGTTCAATTTAACTAATACTTACATATTTAACCGTACATGTCTCCTTAGAAAGCCACCTGATATTATCTACCAATTCATGATGAAAATATTTGCCAGTTTGATTACATCAAAATCATTTCATCAACTAGCAGCTGGTAGCTGGGAAAGACAGGAGACCTAATTCAAACAGCTTCTATGCAGCAACATATGGAACAAACCAACCCATCTCCACATGCTTGTACCCTAGTATTTAATGACAACATAAGGGAAAATTCTCACTGTAGATTTTTAAGAAGATTGACATCAAGGAAAGAGAATGGAAAAGGGTAGAATTTACCTTATCATGCCGTATCATGAGTGATGTCTTAGAACCCAGAGCTGAAAGGATGCCCGCTATCTCCACAGCAATGTAACCTGCACCGACAATGACACTGTGGCTAAAATGAAAGCAAAGGGTTAATATTTTTAAATAAACTTATTTTAGAATCATTTTAGATTTACAGAAAAGTTGAAAAGATAGTACAGAGATGTCCTGTATGCCCTCTGCCCAGTTTTTCTGAAAGTTAACATCTTACATAACCATGGTACCATTGTCAAAACTGAGAAATTGACATGGGTACATTGTTATTAACTGAACTCTAGACTTTACTCAGATTTCACCAGTTTTCCGTTCATTTTCTCTTTCTGCTACAAGATCCAAACCAGGATACCACATTGCAATTTTAAATAGAAAATACCCCTTTGTAGAAAGGAAATAAATATATTTTTGATTGTTTTAGAAGTTTTTTAGCCTCATTCCTTCAGAGAGGAAACAAACAAAAACAAAAACATTGAAACTAGAGATAATGCCTTATGCAATGATCTTTGCACCTAAAACTAAAATTGACACCACAATTCTTATTACCATTATTCTCTGCTCAGTATTCCTCCTTGATCTTTATTCGATTCTATCAATCTTTGCAATATGATTAAAGGCCAATTTAAGCAAGCCATTTAACTTGTAGGATTGATCCGAATTACAGCTAAACACTGCATAAATTTGGTCTAAGAAAGTATCTTAAACACTAGACTGACGATGGACGAGGCTTTGAGGCAATGGCACAGAAGCTGGCCTTAGCCCTAGTGCAACAATGTGTACTTCCAGGCTGCAGCCTAGACAATAAGCATCCCATTCAGGACTAGTTGTGTCAGGCTTAAAACATGGTCTTCTACCTCCACCCAGTTCTTGTGTAAGAAGTAAGCAATCAGGGAAGAACAAAAAACCTTCTCTTTAGTACCTCCCACAGGTAAGGTACCATATTTTGAGTACTTGCCTTCAGAGGACTATGGTCTGGATGGAGGATGAAGTATGAACCCAAATGGCTACAAGATAAAGGTAAGCACCCTCCTATCCTACAATCCAGGGTATGAAAAGAGAAATGTCCACACAGCCTGAAAACCATGAAAGAGTTCTTCTTCCATCTCTATCTCCCTCTTTCCTATTGTATGATGACCCCTTTTTCCTTTCTTTGGGTCTTCCCTTCCTCTTTTCCCCATCCATCTTGTCTTTCTTCCCCAAACGTTTTCGTTAAGCATTGCACTAGACGGGATGGGTAGTGGTCCCTGCCCTTAAGGAATTCCTGAAGGGAAACATGCACGTGGGGTTGCTGAGGCACACAGGTGAATAGTCAGTTCTTGCAGGACAGAGGGCTCAGAGAACACTCCAGATTCCCGAAAGATGAATGATTTGTGCAGGGGTTGGGGGATACTTTCCAAGCAGAAGGAACATACAAGGAACAGGTGTGAAACAAGTTGGCTTCTTCAGAGAACTGCAAGGAGTTCACTGTTTGGCTCTCAGCTCCCAAAGGCACCTCTTTCTAACTCTTACCACAAAAGCATCCAATGGAAATGATCTTATAGCCCTCAAATCCCCAAAGCACTTCTCTTAACCTCATCATGGACCTGAGAACTACTTGTACCATGGCATTCTAAGGGATCTATGCTCCAGCCGCCATCCTGACATAAGCCCAAGGAGGGCAACACTGAACCATTCCGTCCACAAGCAAATGGTACCTCACCTACAGAATTTGTTCTTTCGCTGATTATTTTCTTATTTACCAACATAACAATGATAAAGGAGTCTTAGAAAAAGTAAACAAAATTCACATAATTGTTCATTCATTTTCCTATTTTCCCAGTCTTTTGTTTATAACATGCATAAATTCATTTCAATTCTTTTATTGCTAGCAACGCAAGTTTAATAAATGATTTTAAAACACTCAAAACAGATTATCTGTAATAAAATATCTTATGGAGTGACTGGTTAGCTCAGAGGTTAGAGCGTGATGCTGATAACACCAAGGTTGCCAGTTCAATCCCTGCATGGGCCACTGTGAGCTGTGCCCTCCCTAAAAGAGTCAACTATGCCATTGCAGTATGAAAACAATGTGTAACCAATGACCATAGCTGCTCCCCAATAAAATCAAACCAAAAAAAACCCAAAACATCTTTTAGGACAAGTCTAGATTGAATTATATCATCTAAACAAGACAAGTCATGATCACATTTCTGGATACATTCTCATGTGTGTGTCATATCATTCAACCCTAAAACCAAACCATTACAGGGTAGATCATGAGGGAAGAAAGGTTGTTCTCTAACACAGTTCCATGCGCTGCAGACAGCAAATCTAAAAAGGCTGTTTGCCTTTCTCGAAGTCAAAAGATTGCCTTGTCTGAATATCTTAGTGGGACATTTTCACCACAGCTATGAAACTGCAAAGAAACTGTCCCTTATTAACTGTGGCTCCAGGTAACTTAAGGTAAAGGGATAGGCATGAATTATTAGTCAGCCTCTGTGAAGGCTTTTTTAAAAGCACAGAATTAAGAAGGCCTCAAACTGGATTGGCAGCACCACTAAGAGCAGCAGGGTTGAGTAATTACTGACTCCAGAGAGAGTGTTTCTCAGAAAGATAAAGCCGGTCCCTGGGCCAAAAGGGTCCCTCCTCCAGTTCCTGGGTGTCATCTCTTTTCATGAGTGAAGGAAGGATCCCTCTAACCTAGAAAGCTTCCAATTGGCAGCTTCTTCAAATTAGAGAAACAATCTCCCTCATTATCTTTTTTCTCTCTATGTATCTAAATCCATGAGAGAAGATTAGTAAGGTTATCTGGATAAACACATATAAAGAACAAGTTCAGAAAAATCTGTTTTTGCGAAACTGACAAAGCCTTCATTTATGGAGATCCCTCTGCACTAGCTGCTTGGAAAACGACAATCAGTTACTTGAGACACATTATCAACTGACGCTGTGTCAAGATGAAGAAAGAAGATAGTCTAGGGCTTTACTATTCTTTAAAACCACCCTGCATTTTTGATCCTGGTTCTAAAAACTCTGCAATGGCCTTTGACCAAAAGCATGTAAGATATGAGTCACTTAATGAGGGGTACTAGTGTATGAGATGCCCAAGGTCATAAAAAGAGAAGAGGTAGGAAAACAGAATTCAGGAAATGCCTGCATTTATTGGTGGGGGTGGGGGAGGGGGAGGAATATCAGCAGGAGAGACTGAGGGAGAGTGAATACTGAGGTCAGGAAGGAAACCAGCTTACCTAGGCAATTCTTCCAGTTGAAAAAATCCATCACTGGTTATTCCTAGGCCGGCACCTATGTAAGAAAATGCGATATAGATTACACAGACTGAGATTTCTCTTGGAAAATAATCACAATATTTTATGCAAGACCCAACACTTTCTCAACCATCACCCTTTCTATTTTGATATGTTTTGCTGAAGTCCTCACTTAGGAAGCTGCCAACCAAGTCTTCCCTGAGTTCACATTCTTATTTTCTCTCTAGAAATAAGAGCAGTGATGACTGAATAGCTATCAAATTTCTCTGAGGAACTAAAATTTTCTCAGCTCTCATAAACAGACTCTCTGCTTGACTCTCCCACCCCGACAGGTAGGCGGGGAACCCTTGGCTCAGCTTCGGCCCTCTTCTCTCTGCTTTTTTCTTCAAAGGTTCCAAATACATAGTCCTAGCTTTGACCTTCTCCTTAAGTTCCGCTTCCAAATTTCTAAGTGTCCCACTATACAATTCTACTTTGCCTCGAACTCAGTATATTTAGAATTGAACCTTAACTTTATATCCCAAACCACGTCCCTCTCTCAAGTGTACCACTTCACTTAAAGGGACCACCTTCCACAAATAATCCAGATGAGATACTGAGTTGCCAATCCGTGATTTCTTCTCTCAATGCCCCCTTACATCTCATCAGTTATTAAAAATATTGCACTTTGCCAAATCCAAGACACCGAGATTAAAAGACACATCCTGATTTCAGGTGTTGAAAAAAAATTTTTTTAATGTGTCTTGGAATCAATGAAACACAGTAACTGATTCTTCCTTCTTTGAGTCTTTTGTGCCTGTTCTCTTCGCTGGTGCCTGGCACATAGCGGTGGCTCAGTGGCTGTCTACAGAGCTGGACTGAGCTTTGCCCTCACATTTCAGATGCTAACCCTGTAGTTCAGCACCGGAGCTTCACCTCCTGGCTACTGCAACAGCCCTCTAACTCATCTCCCTCCTCGGTAAGTCGCTGTCAGATGAGTTTTCTAAAATGATTACTTAGATCTTATCACTACCTTATTGATAAGCTAATAATTACTTGTCCCAGGTGTTGTGAATTATAGATTCCTTAATTTGCTTTGTAAGTCACACAATTTGGCCCTAACCCTCTTCCAGTCTTAACTCAATGTATTTGCCTCCAGAATTTTCAATGTTAGAAAAACTGGGGAGTTGGTTGAATGTAGCTTCAATGACATTTTTATTATTCACTGGCTCTTCTGGTTTTCCTTTTCCTCAGCACATAATGCTCAACGTGAGCCCCTTTCCTAGGAATTCTTTTGGGTTCATGCCAGCCCCTAGTAATCTGTCCCACCATTGAGTACCCCAACCCTCACTCTCTGGGAATCACCTTGTAACATTTACCTTTTATTTTCTTTATATTTGTTTTTATCTTATGTTGTTAATTAATAAATGTGTATGTTAAAAAATTTAAAAGCACAATGGAGCATCTAGTGAAAAGCAGGTCTGTTTCCCACCTCACACCTCCAGGCCTCTCCTTGTAGGAAGTCGGCAGTGCAGGGCTTTGAGCACCCCTCCAGAGAGATTCTAGTGCACATACATAGTGCCCCTGCCTTTTTAAAACGACACAAATTGTAACATACACACTGTACCACACCTTGCTTTCTTTCATTTCACAATCAATTTTGGAGATTGTTCCATATCAGGATGCTTATGTCCAATCTTCCCAACTAAATTTTAAGTTACGTGAGAACAGTCCCTTTATGTCCTTTACAGTAGTTGTTCTTAACCTCTTGGGGGTCATGAGCCCATTTAAAAGCTGGTGAAAATGTATGGATTCTCTCTCCAGAAAGAAAAAAATTACATGAATGCCTACATACTCAATATTTTTCCAAAAAAAAATACAAAAGATGTATAAACTATGATCACCATCCACAAAGACCTTATAATCTAGTTGGGGGATAAAGACATGGACAATGTTTCTTGTAATGATTCATCCCTCTGTGTATAAAATGCAAAGGCAGATATGACTACCTGAGATTCTTACTGATTTAATTTTATTATTCTCCATATGAGAAGAATATGTATATAAAGAAGGCTTAATTAGGTGATTACATCCCTTACATCCCTAAAGATTTCCCTCCCTTAAACAAAACAGTGAATGTATCATATCATGTAAATAACAACCCAAACTGAGTCTGGAAACAATCTCTACCATGCTGAGAAGGAAAGGATGAAGCTCTCACTGATTCTTCTCCCTGTGTTACCTGTAGTATGTCTGAGCCTGGAGCTGGAAGAAATCTCTTTCTTTGTCCCGTCATCAAGCATCACTTAAGCCAATTATATTTACGTTCTGCAGAGACCTTCTCTCATGGCCTTGTCCAAGAGAAAGAACTGGTAGGCACAGGCAGGTACCCTGGCATGGCTTTAAGGTTGAACACAACAGGAGCTGGGAGACTCACCGGGGATCTGGCTCTCCTGAGGACGTGAGGGCACACCACCTGTTGCAATCAGGATGTGAGGAGCAGTGTATTTTTTCCCATTGACCTCTACTGTGGGCTTGGGATCACACGTGAATGCTGCATGGCCATAGATGGTTTCTATATGGGACTGGAGAAGGAACCATGACATTAGCCTACACTTAAGATAAAGCAAAAACACATGCTGCCACTTATCAGATCTTTCCATTGCTCTGCTAAGGATTTTGACTTTGAGTTTATTGAGGCCAAGACAACTCTCAATAATCCAGTTTCTGCAAAACTTCTGTTAACCGATACTTAGGTAAAGGGTTGCTAGTTAATGCTGGAAGTGTACAGTAAAAGGAGTGCTATTATGGGCCAAAACCCAGAGACCAAAAAACAAATGCAAGTCACCTTGACAAAGAAAAAGATTACACCTTTGCCCCCAAGAGTTGAGGGAGAAAGTCTTCCTCACTTGCAATGAAAATGCACTAAAGAATGATATATCTGCAGGAAGGACAAAGGCTGAGAAAGACAAAAGGATAAAGATGAAGAGAGTAGAGGAGAGAAAAGAGAAATACTCAGCCAAGGGAAAAAAAATACAAAGCTTCCATTTTCTTAAACAAAATGGGAAGAACACCACAAAATTACATGACAATGAAGTTCTATGCTAGAGGAATTGAGAACTCAAGACTCTTCATTTGGCTCTTACTGACATCCTCTGTGCCAGGGCCCAGATTTGGGGATTGGAGGTTGCTGGATGACAAGCTTCTACCAACCACGGTACTTATATTGGCATGTAAATGTGGGCATTGTACAAGGACAATGGAATTAAACACATAAGATCACAGAAAAGAATGTTTTAACATTTTGGAACATGCTTGGTTCTGCACTGGGTTAATGCCTCATTTCCAATCACCCCTGCAGGCCTGTTCTGCAGGTACCCTGCTTACTTAAGCTGAATCAAGATACAATGCCAAAAGCCTCCAGAAAAACCTTTGTTTAGGAGGCAATGATTTTCTATGGGGTGCCAGATAAAAGGGGAGATGATGGATCAAGTGGCAATAATGTAGATAATAGTTTGCGGGAGAAACTGATGAAATTTTTATTTCCTAGGATATTTGACAGAAAGTTTCCCCTCCTATTAAGAATTTCTGGATCGGGCCGGCCAAGTGGCTCAAGTTGGTTAAGAGCTCACTCAAGAGTGCAAGCTCTGAGCAATAGCGGTTCGATTCCTGGCCCAAGCTGAGCTGCCACTGAGCTGCCAAAAAATTTCTCGATCAACTGTAAGTAATGCTTTCCCATAAGGTCATAGTAAGTTTTACTACACACCAAGATTTGTATTAAAAAAATGCTGTTTCTTGAAACATTTTCCTATCTCTTTTGCATTTTAGCTAGCTCCACTTTAAAAAAAAAGTTGATGGGGTGTTTTAGTATAGCAAGTGATATCTCTATCCTCATGCCTAGTAGCCTTAAAATATCTTGTCGTCATGACTAGGGGACTGAAGGACCCCAAATATTTCCCCCTTGAGTTGGAGATTACAGTCAGAAAAATTTTACTGTCCAAAAAATAAACCCAACAAATAATAAGAATCAATAAAAAAAAATACATGAGATTAGCTATCTGTAGAAGTAACTCTCCCTAAAAATGGGTTAATAAATATATTGCTTATGAGATTACTGTGGCACAAATATCATCAAGAATCTACCGATCTAAATATAACCTAAACTACGCTGAAATATTAAGAAACTGCAAAGTGAGACCAAAAAGGCAAATGAAGAGCGGTAGGATATATGCTGTCAAGAAAAAGGAGAGTTGGATGGTGCAGTCTGTCATGTCTCCAGCATAGTCCTGGGTGGGAGAAGTGTGACATCTAAGCACTGAGGCGAAAAAGACCTCAAGCTCGCGAAGGACAACATATATGCTGAAGGCAAATACACCTTTGCCCAATTTTCTTGATGAGATTTCATTTGCAGAAACAACCTTCTGAACCATAATTTGGGTCTCCTGAGTAGATCTAGCCACCAAAACTGAGGGTGCTCTGAGCACATAAACAATGGCAGGCAGGTTACCTGCCAAATAACGCTCCTGATTTTAATTAATAAATGGGCATAATCCGTCTTTTATGTGTTTGGCTTCCAAGTGGAGGGCCAGACCAACTCAAGATACAGCCATCAGGTGAGACCTAGTCTACCAGCTTTGGCACAGATTGCCTGCTCTCTGTATGTAGAAAAGAGACTGGCCTACGGAGTTAGAGACTTCTCTCTGACAGGTCAACCTCAAAATCATTCATCACAAAAGAAATAATAAGAGGTATATGCCACAGCTACGTTTTAGTCTGGGCAGACTTGTTAGCATACTCTAGTAGAGAATAGCTCCTTCTCAAAGTTCAAAACCCAGCACACTCACCTTGGTGAGATTATTTTGATAGATGGTGTTCAGGCGGCTCACATAGGCATCCCGTTTTTCCTTTATAACACTGCAGTGAAACCTGAGTTAGTACTGAGAAACAGGATTCCCCTCCTCCAGTTAGTAACTAGGGCACCTGTCCCTGCCACCACCCTGAGCAGAGAATGACAGACTGTCAACAAGAAAACCCCACAGTGAACCTCTCTGAAGACAGTCACCTCTCTCCCGTGCCCGTCTGTTTTCCCTACATACAGAACCTCTATGCAACTCCACAGAGACTGTTTAGTTGACATCCACAGTATGTAAATAAAAATGTTCTTTGCATAAAAGACAAGAAGTACTGTTTTGGCACAACGCCTAGTACCTGGTGGCCACTCAGTATTTGTTGAATAAATGAATGAATTTGAGAAATTAAAAAAAAAAAAATCGATGCCTTCAAAAAGTTTATTACAGGTCCTTAAAAAGTTAAACACAAAATTGCCACATGACCCAGCAATTCACTCCGATGTATAGACCCAAAATGATTGAAAGCACACACTTGTAGATCAATGTTCATAGCATTATTATTCACAATAGACAAAAGGTAGAAAAAAACCCAGAAGTCCACTGAAGGATGAAGGGATAAACAAAATATGGCATATAAATATAAAGAAATATCATTCAGCCTTAAAAAGGATTGAAATTCTGACACATGCTATAACATGAACTTTGCAAACATTATGTTAAGTGAAATAAGCAGGCATTAAAGGACAAATATAAGGTACCTAGAATAGGCATTCATAGAAACAGAAAGTAGACTAGAGATCCCAGGAGCTGGGAGAAGAAGAGATGAGGAGCTATTGTTTAATTGGTACATTAAAACACGGTTTCTGTTTGGGATGGTGGAAAAGTTCTGGAAATGAACAGTGGTAATGGTTGCACAACTCCACGAATATACTTAATGCCACTGAATCAACAATTTAAAAATGGCTGAAATGGACATTTTATGTTGTGTGTTTATATATATATATATATATATATATATATATATATATATATATATATAGTATACAACTTGAGTTTAGAGATAAGTATACACTTGTGAAACCACCACTGTCATCAAGGCCATAAACACATCCATCACCTCCAAAAGTTTATGATATATATATATATATATTTTTTTTTAACCACAATAACATCCCCCAAAGAAGTTTATGGCTCATTTAATTACAAAAAATATTTATATTTGGAAAAAGAGCCCTCCGAGCATCAACACTTACCGCCAATTGAATTTACTATCACAACTTTGAAAGCCATAATCAACATGGTCATGTATGAATTCGGAGTGCACGGCTGTGTTCCACATTACCTGTCAAAAAAGGTACCCAAAACAGTAGTGTATGAGTTCTAAGGGAAAACAGAAATCAGGGATGAAAGGTAACTATAGAATAAGCAGATAAAAATACTGACTTTTAAATTTAAAAGAAAACTAAACATTTAAAAGAGAGTTCAAAAATATGACCAGATAGATTTTATAGGGAGGCTTCTGAAATGTTGGGGGGAAATTAATTTGATGGTTCATTTCCCTAGTTTGTAAGCTCTGTAAAAGCAATATATTATAAGCCCCATAGCCCTTCCGTTAACCGTTATTATTGCTTACATTTTCTTTTTAAGTTTCAGATATTTTCAGCCCTGCCTTCTTGGGTTAGTTCTAGAAAATGGAACTGCATCTGTAACTTTACAGTAAAGTGATTTGGAAGGAAACTTATTAAGGAAAGTTGAGGACTAAAAACTTTAAGAGAATGAATTCCTATTATGTATTTAGTAACTACGAACGTGTCCTTGTAAGACATATGCAATTAGACATCTGGAACTCAAAAGTTCAATGCGTCTCTTGTGGAATGTAGCCTATAATCTGTAAAGGCCTTTTAATGCCAACTGATCATCATGACAACTAAATTCCAACTGGCATCTAGAACCCTAGATGACAAACTACCATTTTTCTTTGTCAGACAAGTCTTACACTCCATTTCTGACAAGGCTTCAAATTCCTTCTTTGCACCTTTCTCCCTTTATGCCTAAAGATGAATAAATTGATGACTGCTGCATTCTGATCTTTTTATTGAGGTGAAACTCACGTACTATAGAATTAACCATTTTATCTGCTAGATTCTTTCTCTTAAATAATGCATATGAAAGACTTATCAATACCACAAACAAATTGTGTCATTTTAAGAAACATCACAACATCTCATATTTTTCTGAGTATTTATTTACTTCCAATTTGTAGTATGTACAATGCTATAGCATCAGACACCTCTTGGAGAGAGTGCCTCTGTATGAACTGCATTGGGCTTTTAGGCTCAGACCTAATCAAGGAGGGTAGCAGCCCCTCCATCCAGTTCCTTCTCTACTGAGGCCTCCCTCCTTCTGCAGGGGGCAGCTTCTCTAGACTTAAGTCTGTTCTACAAAACAAGAGGCAAATACCAACTATCTTCAAGAATACAAAAGCAGGGGCCGGCCGAGTGGCTCAGTGGTTAAGAGCTGGCTTGGGACGCCAGAGGGACCCGGTTCGGATCCCACATATGAGGGCTAGTGACACTGCCTTCTACAGCTAAGATGCTGAACAACAGCTCAACCTGGAGCTGGGCTGCGTGAGTCACCGGCGACGGCGTAGGCTGCAGCCCCTGTGGCAGGGGGTTGCCATGGGCTACCGTATGTAGCCAGCAGCCAGCATGAGCGGCCAGCAGCCACAGTGAGCAGCCATCCAGAAGCCGGCGACTGATCTGCCTCGCCCGGGAAGAGCGCAATGATGGTGCCAACTTGGGCCAGTGAAGCAATGTCCTCCAAACTAGACTGAAGAACAAAAGGACAGCAACTTGTGTGTTCCCCTTTCCCCAATTCCCCAGCGCTGTTCCCATCCCCCAATTCCCCAATAAAAATCTTAAAAAAAAAAAAAATACAAAAGCATTCTGAAATTAGTAGAGTCCTATAAAAATATAAGGTAAATGCCTCATACATGTGATCATAGGAGAAGGGATAAATGATATATAATATCATACGGGAACAAAATATTACAAATTCAGGTAACTATGCAGTATTAGCCCAGATGGCATTTTTTAAAAATAATGAGGTAGCAACAACAAAGCAAACCAGATTTGCTACCACAATTGGTTTAAACTACATAAAACCACCTTTCAATTAATTTACGTAATTCATATATCTGTAATTACATGACTCCAAGCATAACAGATTCCAAAATCTAAGATGAAAAAAAAATAATTGAGGGAAAATGTCCCACAGAAAAAAAGAAATTTTCCTAAGACAGAAAAAAAATCTACCATAATAACAGTTTATAGAAAACCTTTCTGGAATTAAACTCGGGTATGCGTCACTGATGAGATCAGGATACTTTCTTACATAACAAAAAGCTGCCAACTCAAAATGTAATCTCAGTAACAAAAGGTTGTAAGCTTGGGATTATAACATGTTTTGAAAGTACATTCAAATGAGGAGCAAAATTTTTTGCAAGTATAAGCACAAGGCAGCTTTGGAAATAAGAGCTGTCATTTCTTCCTCTTCGTCACAGGCAAAGAATGAGTTCATTCATTGTGAACTAAACCACAGCTATTAGGACCAAAAATCACTACAGTGGTCATGAGAATCCATCAGGATATAGAATTGAATGGAAATACTTAAGATGATTTCACTCAATTATTTGGTGTGCTAACTGGGCCTCCCTTTTGAGAAAAAGCTATCCTGTGCTGATGACCAGTCCTAATTACTAGGCCCAGATGTAATCTCACTCACTCTAAACTAATAAATCAATGTATCATTTTATAAAAACAATTCCTTGTCATGCTGGGTAATCATTCCACTGGTTTGTCTGATCACTCCTGAGTGAACCAATAAACTTGAATTTCTAAAACAGCAAAGATGGGGACTAGAAGCCAAGTATGCAGCAAATCTATCAACAGACTGCTTACCACAATGGTTTCCAAATACTGTACTCAGAAATGTCATTCAAGCAACTTGAGAAATTCAATCTTAGAGTGGCCGTAAGATACTCAAAGTCACATGATACATGATTTTAACATGGACAATTTATACAGAAATTGATTTCTGTGTTTAAAAATAAAAACTCCTGGGCCAGCTGAGTGGCTCATTGGTTAAGAGTTGGTTTGGGAACATGAGCTCTGAGCAGCAGGGCCACCGGTTCGGATTCCATATGAGCCAGTGACACTGCACCCTCTACAGCTAAGATGGTGAACGACAGCTCAACCTGGAGCTGGGCTGCCGTGAGTCGCTGGTGCCCACATAGGCTGCAGTGGGGCTGCAGTGGGCTGCTGTAAGCTGTGAGTGGCCGGCAGCCGGTGACAGCTGCCTTGAGCCGCCGTGAGCGGCTGTCCAATGGTCAGCGACCGATCTGCCTCAGTGGGGAAGAACGCAACGATCACAATACCAACATGGGCCAGTGAAGCCACGTCCTCCACAACTAGACTGAAGAACAAAAGGACAGCAACTTGTCTGTTCCCCTTCCCCAATTCCCCAATGCTGTTCCCTCCCCAAATTCCCCAATAAAATCTTTAAAAAAATAAATAAAAAAAAACTCCCACCAACAAAATAAAAACAATAAAAACCTATGACAATCTTTCCAGGAGAAAAACAGTTCTAGTCTCCCTGGGGAAAATTGACTTAGAGATGCACTGGAGCAGGTGAAAGACCAGAAGGCTTGAGGCAAACAGCCTATCCTCTGAGAAGTCACCCCAGGACTCCAGGTAGTTAACCAGAGCCACACGTGGTCGGAGCATCCATCTGCCACTATCACACACCTGGTCTGGGTCATATCAGCACTTGGGCTGAGAGCTGGGTATATACTTTACTTCCTGGCTCGATCTCCCTACTGAGAAAAAGCTATCCTGTGCAGGTGGATAGTGCTTTTCTTTTATGCCATGACTATAGATGTTTTGTTGGTCTTTGTTCCTTCTAGACCAGGGATCGGCAAACTGCAGCTCACAAGCCACATGCGGCTCTTTGGATACATACATGTGGCTCTGAAGTAAAATTGAAAATGAAAATAAAACTATCATAGTTTTATTTATAAAATTTTTAAAGGATAGTCACATAATGGTGATTTCATGTGTTCTATAGCTCTTGAATAATTTCTAAATTGTTGTGAGAGAAACGATTGGCTCTTCTGTCTCAAAAGTTTGCCGACCCCTATTCTAGACTATCCGAAGTTTTGAGACCAGACACTGTGTTCCATCCCTGTTACCTCCCCACTGTGCCCCCATAGGAACTTGGTCACTTTGTCACCATGTTGAGAACTTACCACATGGCGAATGTCCAGGATGGATTTCTTTTGCACGCATGATGCAATTATTGTCCAGGAGCTAATATTTCTGTGGTTATCTCTCCAGCAGCCCCTGTTTCCCTCCCTCCCCCAGATTCCCCTGCAGGGGTAGCTTGGTCCTGGCCAGGAGAACCTGAAGCAACCTGTAGAAACAGTGCTGAGTGAGGACAGCCTGCCTGGAGCTCCAGGAGCCATCCTGTGGCCACCAGGAAGGGGGTTTACTGTTGATTATACACCTAGGATATCAGAATGGAGAGATAGTAAGACAGGGTCCTTTCAGATACCTCCTAAGTGCTAAGCCTAGCTCAGAAATGGCCTATTTCCAGGCTTCTTTTTTTCACACTTTAATAACTGATATTTAAAAATATACAAAAAAGGGGCAGTCAAGTGGCTCAATTGGTTAAGAGCTCGCTTAACCAACTCTGAGCAACAGCAGTTCAATTCCCGGCCTGAGCTGAGCTGCCACTGAGCTACCAACAGGTGACAGGAAGGCTCAGCTAAAAAAAAAAAACAAAAACAAAACAAAACAAAACAAAAAACAACAAAAACTATCCTATTGTTTCAGCCACTTTTAGTGGGTTTCTGTTATTTTTTGCAGAAAGAATTTTAACTGATACATTTGGAAACAACCTTATTCTGATCATGATTTACCAAATACATAAAAAGAGTGTGGAAGGAAGGAGAAATAAAAATTTTACCTTTTTGGGTACACATCCGACATTCACCTAGGAAAAAAATTTAAAAAGGACATATTTTAATAATATTAAACTCAAACCATCGAACAAACCTGTAAGAAATGAACACCGAGCATCAACCCAAGAGACTTCTGTGAGTTTTACATTTACTTCCGTTTTTCTATTACAGCGTTGGAAAAGATGAACATTTTTCTTATGGGATAAGGCAGACAATTTTACTCATCAGTATTTTCTTAGGGAAAGCAGAGTGAGAGAGAACAATTCCATTTCCAGGGGGCCATGCACTGCAGGGACGGTACAGAGGTCAAGGGATGCAGAAGCCTGAGGTGGCCCAGAACCCAGAGGGAAGCAGCAGAACAGAAACAGGAGCATGGAGGTGAGAAGACCCACCAGCTGAAGAAGGGCAACTGAGCCATTTGAGCAGCTGTCCTAGAGGATTCTGGGAAACTTACTATGGAATATCTTGGGTAAAACACCCAGAATGGCCCCTTTGAGAAAACCTCTAGTGGAAATCTACATTCTTTAGGACCAAAGGATGATGATGAAAGAAGCAATAAGATTCATTTGTGCTATGAAGTCATACACTTAACTACAGATAGATTACAAATTTGACTCCTAGCCTTCTAGTAGTCAAAAAGGAAAACACAAACACTCGTCAGATTTCATGTTAAAACTAACAAGTTGTTTAGAAAAATAACTATTAATGCCTCTTAGGCTGGAGAAATTCCACCCAAGGGTCATTGTAAACAAGCTGGGATATATGTTTACACACAAACTTTTGTTTACATCAATTTATTTCCTTTCAGTCATATCCTAAAATTCATAACTTAAAACAAATAAAAGCTGGTTAGGAGTAAGATTGATTAAAACTGCCTTGAGGGTGAAGAAATTTGAACTTGAGTGAATGGATAACCACTCAGTGTACCTTAGCAGAGGAGCTGGTTACAGAAGGACTACTCTTTTTGAAGGGCAATTTACAGACCCCTTAGCTCTGGAAACCTGCCATGTAATGTGTATTTCAGATACCATTTACCTTATAAATACTAAGGGGAAGGTGTTGGTGATGTGTCTTGGCCACTATAATGAAGTTATGAGATTTAAACAAGGAATCAACTGCATATTCTTAAAAAAAAAAAATCAGTATGTTCACTCATGGCCCATTGGCACACAGTAAAGACTAAAAATTTAGATACTGGTGAATATTTATTTACCAAAAGCACAAAAAATAAGGTACTGTATATGCCATGGAACTTAGGATATTGATCAACCATTAGTAAAGAAACTTAAGGGCCGGCCGATTGGTGCATTGGTTAAGAGCTGGTTTGGGGGCCGGCCGAGTGGCGCGATGGTTAAGAACTCGCTTGGGATGCCAGAGGGCCCCGGTTCGGATCCCACATATGAGGGCCAGTGACACTGCCCTCTACAGCTAAGATGCTGAACAACAGCTCAACCTGGAGCTGGGCTGCCGTGAGTCGCCGGCGACGGCGTGGGCTGCAGTCCCTGTGGCAGTGGATTGCCATGGGCTACCGTGTGTGGCCAGCAGCCAGCGTGAGCGGCCAGCAGCCGCAGTGAGCGGCCGTCCAGAAGCCGGCGACTGATCTGCCTCGCCAGAGAAGAGCGCAATGATGGTGCCAACTTGGGCCAGTGAAGCAACATCCTCCACAACTAGACTGAAGAACAAAACGACAGCAACTTGTCTGTTCCCCTTTCCCCAACTCCCCAGCACTGTTCCTATCCCCCAATTCCCCAATAAAAATCTTAAAAAAAAAAAAAAAAGAGCTGGTTTGGGATGCCAGCTCTGAGCAGCAGGACCCGGGTTCAGATGGCCCCCATATGAGGGCCAGTGACACTATGCCCTCTACAGCTAAGATGCTGAACAACAGCTTGGCCTGGAGTTGGGCTGCCGTGAGTCACCAGCGACAGCATAGGCTGCAGTTCCTGCTGCAGTGGGCTGCCATAAGCTACCGTGTGTGGCCCGCAGCCAGCATGAGAGGCCGGCAGCCGGTGTGAGCTGCCAAGAGCCGCCGTGAGTGGCCGTCCAGAGGCTGGTGACCGATCTGCCTCACCCGGGAAGAGCGCGATGATAATACCAATATGGGCCTGTGAAGCGACGTCCTTAACAACTAGACTGAAGAACAAAAGGACAGCAACGATTCCCCAGTGCTGTACCCCTCTCCCAACCCCCCAATAAAATCTTTAAAAAAGAAAAAGAAACTTAAGAAAACCTAAATATTATACATGTCAGATTTCATAAGAATGACTTAAGACTACTTCTAGGCATTTAGCCTAAAGGAGTAATCTAAGCTACAGAAAAGCTAAATGCACAAAGATAATGTTATATCCAAATACACTATTTAAGTATAATCATTTCCTTACTGTTAGTTATCATCTAGAAAAATAATTATGTAATACAAGTGAAAAAAAAGGAGGTTCAATAGCAAACTAGTTTCTTTTTAATTAAAGACAAAAGGTAATCTAAAGAATGAAATATTTTAAATCTATTGATAAAAATATAAAAGATTGACCATACCAGTGTTAGAAAGCACACACCATTTTGTCCAGCAATTCTACAATTAGGAATGTGTCATACACAAATAGTCACATATTATGCCCAAGTGCCCAAATACTTGTATAAGGATGTTCCCTGCAGCACTGTCACAGTGAGTAACTAAAAACAAGTTAACTATCCATCAATAGGGAAGTATTATTGTAGGAAAATTACTGTATATTGAGCCTATGTACATCGCAGCCACTTAAAAGAATAAAGTAGATTTCTATGTACTGTCACCAAAAGAGCTATAGGACAAAATGATAAGTGACAAAAAGAAAGTTGAAAAACAATATGTATTACATGTTTCAATTTGTGTGTGTGTGTGTGTATATATATATATATATATATATATATATATATATATATATATATAAATGTATACGTGCATTTAAACAGTTTAATGAAATACTCCAAAATGTTAACAGATGTCACTTCTAGGGAGGGAAAATGCTTTCAAATTTTACTCTATATACTTTTTTATAATGGGATTACCATCATTCATTATTTGTATAATTCATTTAGACAAAGAAATAAACCAAAATGATTTTACCTAGGTAGTTGAATTTAGATGGGTGATTCTTTGATCTTTTTTGTCTATTTTCAGTATTTTCTATCATATAGCTATTTTTCTTTTGTATGGAAACAAATGCCTGCTAGACATAATTTATAGCAGGTGCTTACAGCTCTGCTGATCGTGGCCATAAGGAACTAGGCTGGCTCTCTGTATGCCCGAAGAAAACAAGCCTATTCTTACAGCAGAATATTTTCTGAAACCTAAACTTCACACACACTTGCCAAGGGACTTGATATAATGAAATGCTAGATTAAAAAGAATCTGAACAAATCCCACTGAGATCACAAATGTTTGAAAAAGGAGTATTATTAAATAGTAACCTTCTATTCCTCTAGTTGTTCCAAATTCTATTTGCTAACAATTTCATTATAATCCTCTTATTTGCTATTATTCTGCACTCAGGAATTAAAAGGAATGAGTTATGTTTCTATAGAGTTCTCAAGTTATCAGTCATTTGGGATTTTTTTTCCTAGAAAGAGGTCATATACTGTCTACTTGGATTTTCTATGAGATTATGCTACAATAAGGCAACAGAAGCAGGGACTCATAGGACTGAGAGAAAGGTATGGAATTCAAGCCTAATAAAAGAAGTCAACACCTACAGCTGCAGCATTACAAGCACACTCTTCAGAAAGCACTTGGTAGTAGCAATTAAAATAATTTATGGCTTTCTACCTAGACTGCCCTCCCATCTGAGTAAGCAGAGGATATGCTATTTCTCAGCCCCCAAGCGTTTGACAAAGTCATGGGGAAAGATGGGGTGAGCCAATCTAAGGAAGGGGGATGGAAGGAATTTCCTGGGTGGGAGAGAACGGAAGAGGAAGGCAGCTGAACCCTGTGGGAAGAGTAATCCCAGCCCCATCGGATATGATTTTATCCCGAGACCTGCCTCATCCAGTTTATTTGGCAAAGTGCTTCCCATCCACACCTTTATACCCTGCAGTTTGCAGCTTAAAGTTCAGTAAGAACCTTCAACGAGGACAAGCTCCAACAGCAATTTCTCCAAAAGTAGAGATAATTTCAATATATTAAGTAAATACACTCTGCTTATCCTCTAGTCAGCCTTCTCCAGCTTCCCAGGAACCTTTAAAAACAATCCAAATTGTCATAAGGTACTAAATGTTCAGAACCACTCTCACATATCATCAATATGCTCCTTATATACATTGGAAGCTACTTGAAAGTTAAGGCAATTTTTTTTTTAAAGTTTGGAACATGCTTCTTCCAAGGGACAGGATGGCCCGATTTTCACTGGTGCCGAGTGTATGACTAATGCTGGTTTATTTTTTAAAAGTTTCTGCCTTTGGGGCTTCTAATTTTTTTTTACTTGCAACCATTCATTAAGCAAGCACTCACTTGTGCCAGGCATTATGCAAAGAAAGCACTAACTGAATATAGCCCCTGCTCTTGTGGAGCCAACAGTCCTAACCAGAGAGAAGCTCTTAGCCAATCCAAGATGCTGACTCAAGGGGCACCAGCAGAAACACCATATCCCCCGGAAATTGCTGAGCCTTGGACCAGAAATCAGAGGAAGATGGTGGTGGAAAATTGTGATCCTTTGGGGCCAGAGAATTTGTATTCTAGCATAGCACATTTAGGGTCCTGCAGATATAGCTAAAAGGAAGCCCATGACCCTGAATTACCAATTGTCCTATTTTTGCAGCTCTGGGTCATAGGCTTCCAGGAGTTTCCGATAGTTTTAGAAACCTAGTTACCCTTCAGGGCAACACAACTGATTATCAGGTGCCTCCTTGACTTGGAAAGGAAGAAAAGAACAATAAGTTACCTACAAAGCTGGGGAAGCCAGGAGTGGGGTGCTATGTACAGGCATGCTCAACCTTCCTTCTCTAGCGGACGTGTGCACTGACTGGGTTGTTAGAGAGAGCACAAGTGTAGTCAGACAGA